TCCCATGTTTTAACTAATACATATTTCTAAAATAAATTGGATAACTTCAAAAAAACAACATTTTTTAAAAAGAGAAAGAAGGCTGAATTACATGATTAGAGAATCTAGGGAAAACTAAACAAAAGAAAGGATAAAGCTATTTTTTCCCTTTTCAAAAACTGCACATTTTATTTGAAAATGTAGATTTTAAAAATGTACATTTTGAAAATGTAGATATGCAAAAAAGAAGAAAACTCACCTATCACCACCTATGACTAAATCAACAAACTCCAGACATAACCATTGTTAAAATTTATTGTATCATGTCAGACTATTTTTCTGTTCATTTATACAGATATATACTAATAAGATCACCCTATGCATAAAGTTTGTAACTATTTTTTTCTTGTGGTCATATATTTTAAAACATTTTCATGGTATTATAAAAGTAATGATCATGTTTAATAACTATATAATAATTCATTGTAAGAATTATATTCCATAATTAAGTTAAATAATATCTTACTGTTAGAGTTTTATACTGCTTTTCATTTGTTAAATTATAAATAATGCTCCACTAAGCATTCTTTATCCTATTATTACCTTAGGATAAATCCTAAAACTGGAATTGCTGGGTTGAAGTATATGTTTATTTCTTGGGTTTTTTATATAAAATGTCAAAATATCCTCCAGAAAGAATCAAACAAATAAATATATTTAGTATAGATATACATACACACATAAATAACACATTAAGTAACTCATAAAAATCTAAATATTAAGTAACTCATAAAAATTTAAATGATAACTGTATAAAAGGATATATTACAGGGTTAATACAAACCTTGCAAAAAGAAAAGAAATGATTGCATACATGAATTCCAAATACTTTTGTGGAAATATACAAGGCAGAAAATGAAACAAAAAAAAAAATCAATAATTCAATGAATGAAAGTTAAGTGTTTGAATAGTATTTACAACTAGTTATTCTAAAAGAATCAGTCTAGAACATTAAGAGATAATATCATCACACATATGATTCATATACTGTCAACATTGTTGCCGCAGCAAAGTGGCAGACATAACCCAACAGTAATTTTTTTTTTTTTTTTTTTTTGAGATGGAGTCTCACTCTGTCACCCAGGCTGGAGTACAGTGGCACAATCTTGGCTCACCGCAAGCTCTGCCTCCCGGGTTCATGCCATTCTCCTGCCTCAGTCTCCCGAGTAGCTGGGACTACAGGCACCTGCCACCACGCCTGGCTAATTCTGCTTTTGTATTTTTAGTAGAGATGGGGTTTCACTATGTTAGCCAGGATGGTCTCAATCTCCTGACCTCGTGATCTGCCCACCTCTGCCTCCCAAAGTGCTGGGATTACAGGCGTGAGCCACCGCGCCTGACCCCCAAGAGTAATTTTAAATGAAGAAGATGCTTAGAATGAATCAGAAGAATAAATTACCTGAGATTTTTAAGAAATGTAATTTTTTCTGTCATACTATTCTCTTTTGGTATTACCTGCATTATAGTTTACTGTTTCATCTCCAAATTCAAGGTATTTTTTCTGCAGTAGAGTAAGCAATGCCCATTTCAGAACTCAAAAGGAATTATCAAGCATCTCACTAAGTCTTCCTTCAAGTGCCCTCTGAGGACAACCTGCATAAAGACAACTAGGAAACTTCCTAAAAGTACCACTTCACAGAGCCTCATTCTCTGAGTACCCAATAATGTGTATTTTTGCAATACCCAGATGATACTTATGAATGCTGAAATTTAGGTAACTTGGTTTACTATTGTAATGATTGAACAGGGCATTACATCATGAAAGGGCATTATCCTCAGGCGAACATCCAGACAATAAGGAATGGAAACTCAGGTAATTATTCTTGTCTCTTTCTACTTATACAGCAAGGATTTATCTCCTGAACCTGTCTATTTCTTTCCATCTCCAATGCTACTTCCCTATTATTCAGGCCAACGTCATCATTTTCTTGTACTACAACAGCTCCTAATTAGCCATCCTGCCTCTAGTGTACCTCTACTCTAATCTGTCCTCTATGATGATCTTAGAGTATGCTTCCCCAAAAATGCCAAATCTAATAAGGTAACTATCTAAAATAGATCAGTGACTCATCATTGCCCATAAGATAAACTCCAAACTATTGTGGCCATACTAAACTTTTAATTTTTCTAATAAACCATGGTTCTTCACCTTTGTTTATTCTATTCCTTCTCTCAAATCACTGTTCCTTTGACCTCAAAGCAGTATTTCCAACATTTGAATACTACCATGTTACTACACACCATCCATGGCTCTCTACCGACTAATGTACTCAATTTCCAACTTCACTGTTTCAGCTGTTCAAAGAAAATCTTATACCAGATGCTCAAACAGTATAACCGGAGCTGCTCTGGTTGCAGGTAGTGAGAGAGATGAGGGGCTCAACTCCCTCACCTCTCTTCTACCCCACAGCAGCCCCAAAGGAGGCTCCACAAAACAGAATTAGATTTTAAAAGACTGAAATCTGGATTCTGTTGCATGGCAAACACTTTAGTCCATCTATCTTTTCTGTATTATCTCCTCATATTATGCCATGAAAATTTTACCAACACTGCACAAAAAGCACCATATTCTTTTGTACTTTGATTCGCAAGAGGTTTCTTTTGCCTGCAACTCTCTGGCCCAATGTTGTCTCCTTGGAGAATTACTAATTCTTCAAGGCTCTGCTCTGTAGTCAATGTCCCACAGGCTGAGTTAGGCTCTTCCACACCTTTGCAGTGCTTGTATAAAAACCTTCCCGTATATCACTTATCATAATGCACTGTAAGTACTATAGTCTAATTCTCCACTACACTGTCAACAACTTGAGTGAAAGTCTTCATATCTTTTTCTTATTTATATCCCCAGTTTCTAGAACACTGTCTGATGAGTAGTATATATTTAATGTCTATTGAATAAAAGATAGATGCTAACATTCTAAATAAAAAGACTAGGTGCTTAATGAGATAAACCTTTAATTCAAGCTTTTAAAATTTTTAAATATTTTAATCAAAATGACAACCTAAAATTATGTTTAAATTGGCTTATTAATAAACTGTTAAGTATCTACTGTGTTGCACAAATAACAGAGAATTACTGAACTATGGGATTTTGACAATGTAAGAATGTAATACATTGTGAAAATGAGACTACATATTCTATAGATTTAGAATCATTGATAGGGAAAATCAGAGGTAAAATCTCCTTAAGTGATTAGATGGGATGATTCAACATCCTGATGCTGTAATTGAGAAAGGAGGGACCTAGCAGAAAAGAAATTAGAAAAACATACAAACAAACTTAGAGTCAATGGAAGGCAAGATCAAAGGAAGTCAAACATGAGATGGACCTTTAAGAATGAGCAGAACTGGGGCCAGGTGCAGTGGCTCACGGTTGTAATCCCAGCACTTTGGGAGGCTGAGGTGGGCGGATCACGAGGTCAGGAGATCGAGACTATCCTGGTTAACACAGTGAAACCCTGTCTCTACTAAAAATACAAAAAATTAGATGGGCGTGGTGGCCGGCGCCCATAGTCCCAGCTACCCAGGAGACTGAGGCAGGAGAATGGCGTGAACCCTGGAGGTGGAGCTTGCAGTGAGCCGAGATCTCGCCACTGCACTCCAGCCTGGGTGACAGAGCGAGACTCCATCTCAAAAAAAAAAAAAAAAAAAAGAATGAGTGGAACTCGCTATGGTCTAAGACAGAAATCAAAGTATTCCATGAAACGAGAAAACGAGTGGGGATGTTAGTAAGAGGCAGGAAAGGTTCGAGAGCCAATGTTCAACGTGATTTGAACACACTTAGAGAGTTGCGGGTGAAAAGACTGAATGGATTTTATGACACCAGGTTTCAAACATTTTCTAAAGCCAGGCAGAGGACTTCATATTTATGTGGTAGAAAACAAGTAACCATAAATCTTAACAGATTAAAAGCTCTAAAAAGTCTGTCTTATTCTGCGTTAAAGGCAAATAAGCCACAGAACAATTATATGATTTCCCCAGTTAGGAATAGTATAAAACAGCCACACTTACCACATAATGCTGCTGCTTTTGGGGTACTTCAACCAACAATTCATTCAAGTACAATGGGTAAATGCTGCTGAGGTTGGCTATTTCCCTACGTTCTAAACAGAATTTGTATGAAGGAGGGCATATTTTCTTGTGAGGAAAAATTCTTGCATGTATTCAAATATGAATCCTTGACAAAGAAAAATATGTCCTTTGGTTATTTATTTATTTATTTAGAGACAAGGTCTAATTCTTACCCAGGCTGGAGTACAGTGGCACAATTATAGCTCGCTACAGCCTCCACCTCCTGGGCTGCAGCGAGACTCCCACCTCAGTCTTCCCAGTAGCTGGGACCACAGGTATGCACCTTCATGCCTGGCTAATTTTTAAAAATTTTTTGTAGAGACAGAGTTTCACTATGTTACCCAGGCTGGTCTCAAACTCCTGGGCTCAAGCAATCTTCCCTCCTTGGACTCCAAAAGTGCTGGGATTACAGGCATGAAACACCACATCCAGTCATGTCCTCTGGTCTTAAAATGACTACTTTTCAAATGCACTATTAATTCCTTACACAAAATATGCAATCGAGATTTCGTATGAAACATATTGATGGCAAAAAACAAAAAAAAGTTTATGAGCTAGTCAGTGAAAAGTTAGAAAGAAAGGTTTAAAACTGAATTTTCCATATTGAATGGGCATAAATTTTAATATTTTAACTACTTCATCCTTCACAATCATGCTCAAAGTAAGTATTTCCAGAAAGATAAATAGTAGAGAACATGCCCATTCTTCAAACTTAAACACATTTTGGTCCCATATATCTGCAATTGATTGAACCAGTATATTAAGAAGACAAATCAGAAAGATTCAACCAAATGCATCCATTGAAAATGTTTTTTAAAGATTGAGAACCATGTGTGTTGTGCATTACCACATTTATGACAGCACATCTGTGATTGCTCACCACTATAACTTACCCCAGTTTTATCACACAAGCGTAAAGTATGAAATGATCCAACAGCAAATAATTCTCCATCTGGAGCCCAGGCAACTGAAGTAATAGGATGCTCATGAGGTTGTGAATTGTACAGCGGGCGGCCGTAACTATCCCATACCTACAAAAGCAATTTTAAAAAATCTTTTATAATATCAAGGAGAAGTTTACCAAAACTAAAAGAAAAATAAATAAATCAAAATGTTTTATAACAGACACCACATAAAAACAAGTTTGTCTTCCAGCAAGGTAGTAAATAAAAATTTAGAAATCAGCACCTTATATATTAGCAATTAAATATCTTTACTATCACACGAGGGGAAAACAAAGCTGTATTCCTTTAAGCCTAAATATTTCAAAAAGAAACTATTTTATAACACTGTCATAATTTTCAGATTTTACTAAATCTCTGAACATAAAATCTACCCACTTTAAGTCTTTTAAATATAATAGTACTTTTTGAAATGTTTACTTCTTAGCTTTGTTTTGTTTTTTGAATTTTAGAGACAGGGTCTCACTCTGTGGCCTAGGCTGGAGTACAGTAGCATGATCATAGCTCACTGCAGTCTTGATCTCCCGGCTCAAGAGATCCTCCTGCTTTAGTCTCCCAAGTAGCAAGGATTACAGGTACATGCTGCCACACTTGGCTAATTTTTTAATTTTTGTAGAGACAGGGTCTTGTTATATTGCCTAGGCTGTTCTCCAGCTCCTGGTCTCAAGTAATCCTACTGCCTTTGCCTCTCAAAGCACTGGGATTATAGGTATGAGCTACCATACCTAGCTTGCTTACCATTTTGCCTAAATTTTTTTCTCCCTGTAAGGGCTCTACCTACTTTCTCTAAAAGTATTTATTTCAATTTAATTCTGTCTAACTCTAGTTATTAATACATTAAACCTTATTCCTCTCTACAAATTATTTTGACCTGAAATTGATCAATATTTAGTAAACCAGCAGGGTTGATTTTTAAAAACATACTGAATTGACTTAAATTGAGTCACGGTAAAATTACAGGCTATACTGATATTGTTAGTTATTAAATATCAAACTCTATAGATCAATGAGATCCTCTTTCTTTTTTTGAGAGAGAGAGGGTCTCACTTTGTTGCCCAGGCTGGAATGCAGTGGCACAATTATGGCTCACTGCAGCCTCGACCACCTGCACTCAAGTGATCCACTCAACTCAGCCTCCCAAGTAGCTGGGACCACAGATGTGCTCCACCACAACTGGCTAATTTATTTTTGTAGAGGTAGGGTCTCACTGTGTTGTCCAGGCTAATGAGATAGTCTTTATAAAGTCCATGCTTTAAAATACCACTTAACATTATAAAATAATTTGCTAAATTACTGGAGTATAAAGACATGGCTAAAGCAAAAAACTAAAAGAATATTCTTACATGCTAAGTACTTACAAATTTGATTCTTTCAGCCAAGTGATAAATCTAAACATTACATACCTTATATTTACAGTCTTCACCAGCAGATAAAATAAGATCATTGACTGAGTTCCAATCTACTTTTAAAATAATGCCATCATGAGCTTTCCACTGTGAGAAAAAAATAAGATATTAATTATAACTTTAAAAGCACTTAAGTTTTTTTCTATAAGAAAATATATTTTGCCTCTTTCTAATGACTCCCTTGTCATCTTCTCAAGGATTCCTATCTTCCTTTTATAGCCATTGTACAATACCTCATTTGCTTGTTTCATTTGTAATTTACACTAACGCAAGCACCTAGCACCTAAGACATCCACTATACAGCTTCAAACCTTATGAATTTCCTCAGTTGCCTGGAATCCAGATGGAAAATCACTTGCTGCTAAACTATTTCAAGATTGACATTTGTATGATAACACTGAATGAATATGTTATGTATTCCAAAAATGTCAACTGAATCCAAATCTTGCTTTCTCCTTCATACAGCAGATGCCATTACTCATATTGCCTTCATGCTTGTTTATTTATTTATTTATTGAGGCAGGGTCTCACTGTCACGCAGGTTGGAGTTCAATGATGTGATCAGGGCTAACTGCAGTCTCCACCTCCCACACTCAAGCAATCCTCTTGCCTCAGCCTCCCAAGTAGCTGGGACTACAGGCACGTGTCACCACACCCAGCTAATTTTTTTTTTTTTTTTCATTTTTGGTAGAGAACTCTTGCTATGTTGCCTAGGCTAGTCTCAAACTCCTGAGCTCAAGTAATCCTCCTGCCTTGGCCTCCCAAAGTGCTGGGATTACAGGTATGAGCCACCATGTTTGGCCCCCCTAACCATTTTTTTTAAAAAACTTCTGCACAAACATCTTTAATACCCTCTTCATTTCTGTTCATCATATTCTTCTAAGTTTCATTCACTTTATCTTCATGTGTCTGGTTTATAACTGGAGTACTCTGAGAAACTTTTGCTGTATTTACCATGTAACAAAAAGATGTTTTCCATAGATAAGTATATATTCTATGTATATAATCATTCTTTGGTATCTGTAGGGGATTGGTTCCAGTACCTCCCACTGATATGAAAATCATAAGTTCCTAATATAAAATGGCACAATATTTGCATATAACCTACGCATATCCTCCCACATACTTATAATCGTCTCTAGATTACTTACTATAGAAATAAAATGGCAATACTATGTAAATAGTTGTATTGTTAGGGAATAATGACAAGAGCAAAGTCTATACATGTTCAGCACAGATGCTATCTTTTTTAACATATTTGATTCATGGTTAGTTTAATCTATCAGTGCAGAACCCATGGTTATGCTGAATGTACATACTATGCATAGACATGGGTGTTTATAAGTCATGCAGAAACTAGCAATCCAAACAGTAAACATGGATGTCTTGCTCTTAAATGTAATTCATGGGCCCATTTGGCTATTATCTAATGTGTAATTAAATGCTACCATAGGCAGAATAATGAAACTAAAAAGAATTAACCTTCTTTTAAGACTATAAGTATATTTTAATGTCTGAGTCAACTGACTTCACATCAAAGGGTGGCAGATTTTAAGGGCTTTCCCCTCAGGCCCTGCCCAATCTATTGTTCTTATTGTATACAGTACAAAGTATTAAATGTGGGCCAAATAAACTCTAAGAATAAGCAACAATTCATAACTTGCTTTATTCAAAATATACAAAAATACACATTTTCAAAAACAAATGTTTTGATAACACATATTAAAAAGCAATAGTTTTCACAATTAACTGCCAAATTAATCCAATGTCCTGAAATACACTACAAGGACAAATGTAACAATATATACAGCTACACATATACATACAGATTCTTTTTTGTTTTTCTTTTTTTGAAACAGAGTCTTACTTTGTCATCCAGGCTGGAGTGCAATGACCCGATCTCGGCTCACTGCAACCTCCGCCTCCCAGGTTCAAGCTATTCTCATGTCTCAGCCTCCCAAGTAGCTGGGACTACAGGTGCCCACCACCACGCCAAGCTAATTTTTATATTTTTAGTAGAGATGGGGTTTTGCCATGTTGGTCAGGTTGGTCTTGAACTCCTAACCTCAGGTGATCCACCTGCCTTGGCCTCCCAAAGTGCTGAGATTACAGGTATGAGCCACTGTGCCCAGCCACGGATTCTTAAGAGTTTCATTTTAAAGGAACAAAATAAATATTGCATATTCAAGATTTATGAATAAAATATTATTTAAATTTTCCTCACACTGTAATTTAGGGTATCAACATATATTACAAATATTTGCATATTGTTATACATACAATAATTTTTATTTATTTCTTAATTTATTAGGCATTTTGTAAAGTTCCTTTGAACAACAAGCTCCTTGAAGGCAGAAACTATGTTGTTTCATTTTGACTATCTCATACCTACCACAGTGCCTGGTATATAATAGGTATGCACTACATTTTTATTCAATGAATAAATAAAAATTTTCTCACTATAAAACCAAATTCTATGTGTCAAGAAGGCTTTAAAGGAAATGAGGTATATACTTCTGAACTGCATTCCACAAGCAAGAATTAATTAAGCACACTTTTTTGTGTACAATCCTAATTTGAATATGTTTTTATGCTCAAGAAGAATTGCAACTGCTTTAGTGTCCCAAAAGGAATAGATAATTTGCATGAAGTTACTAATTATACTTTAAGTCCTGTTCCTCTCTAGCTAATTTTGGCAATGGATACTTTGCTTCTCTCTGCTACCTCCTGGCCCAAAGGTTCTATTGAACCACTAAACCATATTTTACTTGACCAACGGTGATATAACCAGCTTCCTGAGTTTCATTGATACAAGCCTAATGACAGGTATCTAAACAAATTCACAGGGACACCATTCCAAGATGGCTGAATAGGAACAGCTCTGGTCTGCATCTCCCAGTGTGATCAACACAGAAGATGGGTGATTTCTGCATTTCCAACTGAGCTCTGAAGACAGCAGTGGTTTTCCCAGCACAGTGTTTGAGTTTTGAGAATGGACAGACTGCCTCCTCAAGTGGGTCCCTGACCCCTGTGCAGCCTAACTGGGAGACACCTTCCAGTAGGGGCCAACTGACACCTCACACAGGCAGATGCCCTTCTGGGACGAAGCTTCCAGAGGAAGGATTAGGCAGCAATATTTTCTGTTCTGCAATATTTCCTATTCTGCAGCTTCTGCTGGTGATACTCAGGCAAACAGGGCCTGAAGTGGACCTTCAGCAAACTCCAACAGACCTGCAGCTGAGGGTCCTAACTGTTAGAAGGAAAACTAACAAACAGAATGGAACAGCATCAACATCAACAAAAAGGACATCCACACCAAAACCCCATCTGTAGGTCACCAACATCAAAGACCAAAGAGAAATCAAAGCAGAAAAGCTGAAACTTCTAAAAACCGGAGCACCCCTTCTCCTCCAAAGAATCGCAGCTCCTCGCCAGCAATGGAACAAAGCTGGACAGAGAACGACTTTGACGAGTTGACAGAAGTAGGCTTCAGAAGGTCAGTAATAACAAACTTCTCCGAGTTAAAGGAGCATGTTCTAACCCATCCCAAGGAAGCTAAAAACCTTGAAAAAAGATTAGATGAATGGTTAACTAGAATAAACAGCGTAGAGAACACGTTAAATGACCTGACGGAGCTGAAAACCATGGCATGAGAACTACATGACATATGCACAAGCTTCAGTAGCCGATTTGATCAAGTGGAAGAAAGGGTATCAGTGATTGAAGATCAAATTAATGAAATAAAGTGAGAAGAGAAGTTAAGAGAAAAAAGAATAAAAAGAAATGAACAAAGCCTCCAAGAAATATGGGACTATGTGAAAAGACCAAATCTCCGTTTGATTGGTGTACCTGAAAGTGATGGGGAGAATGGAACCAAGTTGGAAAACACTCTTCAGGGTATTATCCAAGAGAACTTCCCCAACCTAGCGAGGCAGGCCAACATTCAAATTCAGGAAATACAGAGAACACCACAAAGATATTTCTCAAGAAGAGCAACCCCAAGACACATAATTGTGAGATTCACCATGGTAGAAATGAAGGAAAAAAAGTTAAGTGCAGCCAGAAAGAAAGGTCGGGTTACCCACAAAGGGAATTCCATCAGACCAACAGTGGATCTCTCAGCAGAAACTCTACAAGCCAGCAGAGAGTGGGGGCCACTATTCAACATTCTTAAAGAAAAGAATTTTCAACCCAGAATTTCATATCCAACCAAACTAAGCTTCATAAGTGAAGGAGAAATAAAATCCTTTATAGACAAGCAAATGCTGAGAGATTTTGTCACCACCAGGCCTCTCTTACAAGAGCTCCTGAAGGAAGCGCTAAACATGGAAAGGAACAACCAGTACCAGTCACTGCAAAAACATGCCAAATTCTAAAGACCATCGATGCTAGGAAGAAACTGCATCAATTAATGGGCAAAATCACCAGCTAACATCATGTCAGGATCAAATTCACACATAACAATATTAATCTTAAATGTAAATGGGCTAAATGCCCCAGTTAAAAGACACAGACTGGCAAATTGGATGAAGAGTCAAGATCCATCAGTGTGCTGTATTCAGGAGAGAATGTGTCTCACATGCATGTGTCTCACATGCAGAGACACACATAGGATCAAAATAAAGGGATGGAGGAAGATCTACCATGCAAATGGAAAGCAAAAAAAAAGTAGGGGTTGCAAACCTAGGCTCTGATAAAACAGACTTTAAACCAACAAAGATCAAAAGAGACAAAGAAGGCCATTACATAATGGTAAAGGGATCAATTCAACAAGAAGAGCTAACTATCCTAAATATATATGCACCCAATACAGGAGCACTCAGATTCATAAAGCAAGTCCTTAGAGACCTGCACAGAAACTTGGATTCCCACACAATAATAATGGGAGACTTTAACACCCCACTGTCAATATTAGACAGATCAACGAGACAGTAGGTTAACAAGGATATCTAGGACTTGAACTCAGCTCTGCACCAAGCGGACCTAATAGACATCTACAGAACTCTTCAACCCAAATCAACAGAATATACATTCTTCTCAGCACCACATCACACTTATTCCAAAATTGACCACATAGCAGGAAGTAAAGCACTCCTCAGCAAATGTAAAAGAACAGAAATCACAACAAACTGTCAGACCACAGTGCAATCAAATTAGAACTCAGGATTAAGAAACTCACTCAAAACCACACAACCACATGGACACTGAAAAACCTGCCCCTGAATGACTATGGCCTGCATAACAAAATGAAGGCAGAAATAAAGATGTTCTTTGAAACCAATGAGAACAAAGATACAACATACCAGAATCTCTGGAACACATTTAAAGCAGTGTGTAGAGGGAAATTTATGGCACTAAATGCCCACAAGAGAAAGCAGGAAAGATCTAAAATTGACACCCTAACATCACAATTAAAAGAACTAGAGAAGCAAGAGCAAACACATTCAAAAGCTAGCAGAAGGCAAGAAATAACTAAGATCAGAGCAAAACTGAAGGAGATAGAGACACAAAAAACCCTCCAAAAAATCAATGAATCCAGGAGCTGGTTTTTTGAAAAGATCAACAAAATTCATAGACCACTAGCAAGACTAACAAAGAAGAAAAGAGAGAAGAATCAAATAGACGCAATAAAAAATGATAAAGGGGATATTGCCACTGATTTCACAGAAATACAAACTACCATCAGAGAATACAATAAACACCTCTACGCAAATAAACTAGAAAATCTAGAAGAAATGGATACACTCCTGGACATATACGCCCTCCAAAGACTAAACCAGGAAGAAGTTGAATCTCTGAATAGACCAATAACAGGCTCTGAAAATGAGGCAGTAATCAATAACCTACCAACCAAAAAAACTCCAGGACCAGATGGATTCACAGCTGAATTCTACCAGAGGTACAAGGAGGAGCTGGTACCATTCCTTCTGAAACTATTCCAATCAATAGAAAAAGAGGGAACCCTCTCTAACTCATTTTATGAGGCCAGCATCATCCTGATACCAAAGCCTGGCAGAGACACAACAGAAAAAGAGAATTTTAGACCAATATCCCTGATGAACATCGATGCAAAAATCTTCAATAAAATACTGGCAAACTGAATCCAGCAGCACATCAAAAAGCTTATCCACTGTGATCAAGTTTGCTTTATTCCTGGGATGCAAAGCTAGTTCAACATACTCAAATAAAGAAATGTAATCCATCACATAAACAGAACTAACAACAACAAAAACCACATGATTATCTCAATAGATGCAGAAAAGGCCTTTGACAAAATTCAACAGCCCTTAATAAACTAGGAACATATCTAGTTCCTAGTTTGGAACATATCTCAAAATAATAAGAGATATTTATGACAAACCCACAGCCAATATCATACTGAATAGGCAAAAACCGGAAGCATTCCCTTTGAAAACTGGCACAAGACAGGGATGCCCTCTCTCACCATTCCTATTCAACATAGTGTTGGAAGTTCTGGCCAGGGCAATCAGGCAAGAGAAAGAAATAAAGGGTATTCAATTAGGAAAAGAAGAAGTCAAATTGTCCCTGTTTGCAGATGACACAATTGTATATTTAGAAAACCCCATCATCTCAGCCCAAAATCTCCTTAAGCTGATAACCAACTTCAGCAAAGTCTCAGGACACAAAATCAATGTGCAAAAATCACAAGCATTCCTATACACCAATGACAAACAGACAGCCAAATCATGAGTGAACTCCCATTCACAACCGCTACACAGATAATAAAATGCCTAGGAATCCAAGTTACAAGGGATGTGAGGGACCTCTTCAAGGAGAACTACAAATCACTGCTCAACAAAATAAAGGAGGACACAAACAAATGGAATAATATTCATGCTCATGGATAGGAAGAATAATATCATGAAAATGGCCATACTATATTTATAGGTAATTTATAGATTCAATGCCATCCCCATCAAGCTACCAATGACTTTCTTCACAAATTGGAAAAAACTACTTTAAAGTTCATATGAAACCAAAAAAGAGTCAGGACTGCCAAGACAATCCTAAACAAAAAAAACAAAGCTGGAGGTATCACACTACCTGACTTCAAACTATACTACAAGGCTACAGTAACCAAAACAGTCTGGTACTGGACCAAAACAGAGATATAGACCAATGGAACAGAACAGAGCCCTCAGAAATAACACCACACATTTACAACCATCTGATCTTTGACAAACCTGACAAAAACAAGAAATGGGGAAAGGATTCCCTATTTAATAAATGGTGCTGGGAAAACTGGCTAGCCATACGTAGAAAGCTGAAACTGGATCCCTTCCTTACACCTTTTACAAAACTTAATTCAAGATGGATTAAAGACTTAAATGTTAGACCTAAAACCATAAAAATCCTAGAAGAAAATCTAGGCAATACCATTCAGGACATAGGCATAGGCAAGGACTTCATGACTAATACGCCGAAAGCAATGGCAACAAAAGCCAAAATTGACAAATGGGATCTAATTAAACTAAAGAGCTTCTGCAGAGCAAAAAGAAACTACCATCAGAGTGAACAGGCAACCTACAGAATCAATCTACGCATCTGACAAAGGGCTAACATCCAGAATCTACAAAGAACTTAAACAAATTTACAAGAAAAGAACAAACTACCCCATCAAAAAGTGGGCAAAGTATATGAACAGACACTTCTCAAAAGAAGATATTTATGCAGCCAACAGACACATGAAAAAAAGCTCATCATCACTGGTCATCAGAGAAATGCAAATCAAAACCAAATGAGATACCATCTCACATACAGTTAGAATGGTGATCATTAAAAAGTCAGGAAACAACAGATGCTAGAGAGGATATGGAGAAATAGAAATGCTTTTACACTGTTGGTGGGACTGCAAACTAGTTCAACCATTGTGGAAGACAGTGTGGCGATACTTCAAGGATCTAGAACTAGAAATACCATTTGACCCAGTGATCCCATTACTGGATATACACCCAAAGGATTATAAATCATGCTACTATAAAGACACATGCACATGTATGTTTACTGCAGTGCTATTCACAATAGCAAAGACTTGGAACCAATCCAAATGTTCATCAATGATGGACTGGATTAAGAAAATGTGGTACATATACACCATGGATTATTATGCAGCCATAAAAAAGGAAGAGTTCATGTCATTTGCGGGGACATGGATGAAGCTCGAAACCATCATTCTCAGCAAACTATCACAAGGACAGAAAACCAAACACCGCATGTTCTCACTCATAGGTGGGATTTGAACAATGAGAACACGTGGACACAGGACGAGGAACATCACACACCAGGGCCTGTAGTAAGGTGGGGGGATGGGGAAGGGATAGCATTAGGAGAAATACCTAATGTAAATGATGAGTTAATGGATGCAGCAAACCAACATGGCACATGTATACCTATGTAACAAACCTGCACATTGTGCACATGTACCCTAGAACTTAAAGTATAATTTAAAAAAAAAAGAAAAAAAACCCAAATTCACATAACTATAAACTAAAGGTATAAACTAAAATATTCAACTTGCCTGTTTTTGCTGTATAAATTTCATAGCAGATTTTCAGCGTAGGTAATTGGCATGGAAGGACTTTGACTAAGAGCCATCAGATCTAGTCCTCTTTCCCAGCTTCTTCCCTTTGCCCAAATTTTTTACCTTAGGTGCCTAAGGACAGGGGCTTGTATGTTCTATTCTTGCATGTCCCTATAGTTTCTAGCAGAGTATTCTGCACACTGTAAAAATGTAAATGCATGTTGGCTGTGTAAAATACATACAGCATAATCTATACAGATGTTATTAATATGGAACCTCGAAGTCATCTCTATGTCCTTATTCCCTAAAATCTACATCTACTCAACTGTTAAAACACATCTATGCCGCTGTAGCCTGTCAATGTCTGCCAACAAATCTCTTACTCAAGACCTAGTCATTCTACAATGTTTTCCTGGTCTCCTTGGTTGACTAAAACGTAGAGATGGCATAGCAACTTATAATAGCATAATAATACAGATAATAACAGGTACTCTATATTGAGTGCTTACTGTATGCCTGGAATTGTCCTTTGTGCTTTGTAATTTAACTCATTTAATCCTCACAGCAATTCTGTTCAGCTGATATTAGTGTCACTAACTAAGAGATAAGAAGGCTGACATTCAACAATATTTTATAACTTGCTTAAGGTCGTGTATAGGTAAGTAAGTGAATATTTGAACCCAAGTGGCTAACTCCAAAGCCTGTGTTCTTATTAGCAAACTATGCTGTATCATTATCAAAATGAGTTGGAATAAGGGGAAAACAAACCTTGTTGGAAATATAAAGATATTCCTTGTTCTGTAATAAAGGCTGATTAAACCATGTACTTAAAGACCAGACTGTAAAAAGACCACCCAGAAGAAAGAGACTCCTAAGCAAGTGCCCTCTAGTTTAGCAGTCAGGCAGACCCTGATAACAATTTACATATGACTGAAAAGTACCTGTAAAACTTTAGCATTTGGTTGAAGAGGTTTAATGATTAGTTGCTTGCCTGCTGTATAAAGAACTTTTTCTGAATCAGGGCCCCACGCTACTGAATACACTGGTGTTCCTGAAAGATGAAAAAAAAAAAAAAAAGGCTGATAAACTTTAATTATTATGCCTTATAAAAAGAGAGATTGTTAAGAGGATCAAAAAAGTCATATGAGGTGTCATTTCATTTCTTCTCTTTTCAATGGACCTTTCAAATTAGAGTATAGTCTGATGTTGAAATGCTGACTGAGTTAATACTGACCTTTGAAAATCTACTGTGAGCAACTGACATACTATACTTTTAACTAATTAGGATCTTGCTGAGAAAATAGAGTTTTTAGAAATTCCATACACAGTGCTATTGAAATACAAAAGATAAAATAAATATACTTCATTTTAATATAAAGGAATAGCAGAAAAGTCATGATTTATCATTTCCCATCATCGACAGTCACCAGTATGTATTTATTTATTGGCAGCAAATGTTTTTACATTTATTTGCAACTAGTTCAACAAATGATGTTGGTTTAAAGCAGCAGTCTTGGGGCTTGGCTGCACATTGTAATCACCTAGAGCTTTTTAAAAAATTTTATTTTTAATTTTTGTGGGTACACAGTAGATATATATATTTATGGGGTACATTAGATATTTTGATACAGGTATGCAATATAAAATAATTACATCATGGAAAATGGGCTTTCCATCCCCTCAAGCATTCTTCCTTTGTGTTATGAACAATCCAATTATACTCTCACCCTGTTGTATTATCAAATACTAGGACTTATTCATTCATTCATTCTATTTTTGGTACCCATTAACCACCCCACCTCCCTCACAACCCCCATTACCTTTCCCAGCATCTTGTTACCATCCTTCTTCTCTCTATCTCCATGGGTTCCATTGTTTTGATTTTTAGATCCCACAAATAAGTGAGAACACTCAATGTTTGTCTCTCTGTGCCTGGCTCATTTCACTCAACATAATGAATGAACTACAGTTCCATCCATGTTGTTGCAAATGATTGAATTTCATTCCTTTTTATGGCTGAATAGTACTCCACCGTATATAAGTACCACATTTTCTTTATCTATTCATTTGTTGATGGACACTTAGGTTGCCTCCAAATCTTGGTATTGTGAACAGAGTTGCAACAAACACAAAAGTGTAGCTATCTCTTTAATATACTGATTTCCTTTCTTTTGGGTATGACTCAGCAATGGAGTTAGAGCCATCAGTATTAAACTGACTTAACGCATAAAGTAACTTAAATTTTACATGTTAAAATACAAATGGTATACTCACCTTATAAATTAATTATCATACCTGATGCTACAACAGGCAACAGAACTTCCCCTCACATGCTACTTAAGCAGCAGACTAATGGACAGAAATAACTTCATCCCAAAATAATCTAATAACCTCCAACTCATGAATTCACAAACGGCAAATTTTTTTATATCAGATTAGGAAAAGTTTTGTTATCAGGTTTGGCTTTAGCCTGAAACCTTGGCTAAAAAAAGCTCCAATATCTTATAACTTGCATAAAGTTTACTTCCAGAGGAAAAGCACAAGTTTGATTTACCTACCACTCTATAAACTACATTACACTTGATAGTGTTTTCAATTGCCAATAGGAATTTAGAGATGAGATTTTTAAAATAAATTACACTTAAGTATAGTATTTTTTAGCTTAATTATTTTCTAGATTACCTAATGTCTTCTGGAAGACTATACTTTATGTAAGCCTAATTTTAAAAAATGACTATCATATTTATTGAAAGCTTTGGTTATATGGCAGTAAATAATCTGTATTCCACTTCCCTGGCCCAGCTGTCTATTCATTAGGCAGGTGAATCAAGGTTATGTAGTTAATCTATGAAATAGTAACCCAAATATACTTACAAAACAGCTTTTAAAAATTGTCTAGGACTCCTAAATCAGACTATTGTAGTAACTGACTTTCTGTGAATAAATGAACCAATGAATAAATGAATGAATCTTTAAGGAATTTACATTCTTAGTGGAATGAAATCTGAATTTCAGGATTTGTGGGCAATCAATAAAATTTAATTGTTTATTTAAATGAAAAGCCCAACTGATGATACAATCAACAGAGAATAAATTTCAGTAAGAGAAATGCTTTTGTTTAAGAGGTACTGTACTTTTTTTGTGCCATTTTCTCCCTAATAAAAATATAATTCGTTTATGAGCCAGTCCCAATGGTTTATAGAGGTTAGAAAGTCTAGTCTAGACCCAGTCCAAAAAAAAAAAAAAAAAAAACTCTGAAACATGTCGTCCACAGTTCAAGTGTTATAAAATGTCTAAATCCTGTTTAGTCAATGACATCTAGGATTGTTCTGTATCAAAGGAACCCACAGAAATTCTTCCTGATGAGATGGCCAGCCTCAGAAGGTACTCCTCCTTCTTCTGTACTTGATGAGTATATTTTCTGGGAATATTCTCTGGGAGTAGCCAGGAGTTGACCTGTGCTTCAAAAATAAATCTCCAAATGAACGAAGTTTAACCTTAATAAACTCCCCCAAAAATAGAAGTCAAAATTTCAGATATTTCTAATGTAGTTCTTGTTGATCACTGGAAAGGAGTAACAAGGACTTACTAGTTAAGGTGGTAGAATTATAGATGCCATCTTTATTTCCATTATTATAGTTATAATTTTTGTACAAAAAAGTAAATTAATATGTTTTAATTTATAGCCTATCAAATCTTCATAAATACACTCAGTAAAATTATACTTTCCTGGGGTGTATACTAAACTATGACAAACACCTACCCTCAAGGAAATAATTCAGTAAATACAACTCCCATTGAGTTATACAGGATGTGACTTTAAGGCTTTAGTTGTGGTAAAAGGCACGGTTGGGGTATAGAATGAGGAACTAAGGACTCTTCAGTTCTCTTAACTTCAACATTTAATTTGTGGTCCCATTAAGTCAGTTATGACACCATTTCCTTTTTTATGAACCTTTCTTCATCGTATTTATCTTCCCTTTTGGGACAAAGAGATAATTCATTTCCTGCTTATAAAACAAATTTGTAAACAATAATGTTTAAAAAAAACAGGTATAACTTATATAATAAAAGAAAATAAGCTTATAAAGAAAAAGTTAAGTAATTCCTTTGTTATGTGGTTTTTAACCACATTCCTTCAATCAAAATGCAAGCTATGGAAACAAATATGGAAACAAATAATTTATTTATGATAAATAAGCAAGGTCAATAGATAGGACTCATTAGTTACTCTCCTTAACCACTAAAAATTCAAAATGGATATAACATCAAAAGCTGTGATCTTTATTACAACCATTCCTTATGTTTAAAATAAAATATTAAGCATGAAACTACTGTATATGTGAATATTTTCTTTTCTAGAAGGAAATAAACTACATAGCTATACAACTTTCAATTTGGGTGGTTCTAATAAAGATCATTAATAAAAGTGGAAGAATCAGCTTCACAGAATAATTTCTATTATTATGAAATCCATCCACTAGCATTTAAAAAATCTATAATATTTCAAATTTTTAAAATATACTTATTAAAGTATGAATTATTCCCACTGCTATGTTTCGCTTTGCAAAATCAGCATGGAAATAACAAATTTAGCCTTTGGATTGAATTACTTTAAAACAAAGAGTGTAGCAAATTATGTAACAAAATGTTATTTATTTCATCATTAACAAAAATGGAAAAAAACAAATAGCTTTATAATAGTTTTTTACTTTTTATATCGGAAATTTTAATTTATGCTCCATTTCTGCTAAGACATTCAAAAAGATCTTGTTTTTCTAACTTTGTACACTAAAATCATGTGACCTTTTTGACATTTTTTAAGAAACCACATGCACCTGGGGTTGTGTTAAATGTCAGACCCTTATCTCTCCATAAAACAAATTATCTAAATTCTTTCAACCTGTTGAAGGCATTTTAAACCACAGAAGAGGAGACAAAAATGTATTTCAATTGTTTTAAGGAAGTACATGGTCAAATATACCATGTTTTTCACATTCACACTATAAAAGTATCCCCTAAAAACGTTGTTTTTGTATGTTTTTAAGAATGCCTTTGAAACAAACTGTTCACTACTATAATAAAGCATTAGCTATCTTTGCCTTGAATGCAGTATTGGTCTACATTGAGTGAATAGAAGTAAAGTACTTGAAATAGAGTCTGGCACTATATAGCACTATCTGTTAACTACTACTACTACTACAAATTATTTTGTAATGCAATAAGCAAGCATTTGCTTACTGTATTGTTCATAGTAGTAGCCATTTGATTTTTTTTTTTTTTTTTTTTCTGTTTTGGCCAAATCATTGGCATTCAAAAACCAAGAATGGTTTCCTTTTCATTTCATTTGTAGGAGACATGAGCTAACAATAGTCAAGTGGGATTTATTCAAAAAATTCCAGGCTCCATGCTTACGTATGTCACTGGATCAATACAAGAAAAAGTTTAAATAAAGGCTTTTTTTTTTTTTTTTTAGTTTCTATCTTCAACCACTTCTCCCTTGGGGGGTCTCAACTTTCCCCATAGTTTCACCTTTCACTTAATGTAACTGACTCCCAAATTAATATTTTAGCCTTTACCTCTGAGCTCCAACACATTTCTACTTGATCCAAAGAGATCTCCATCACAGAGCTTCAAATTCTACATATCCAAAACCATCATCCCTTCACATATATTTCCTAATTTATCCCTCTTTGAAGTCTTTACCCTTACAGGGTACATCCCTCTCAGTCCCTGAGAACTATTCACTTTTCCAACTACTGTTGTCACTGCCTCTATTCAAGCCTTAACCGCTGCCTTCGTTCAAGTTTTCATTAGCACTAGAATAGACAATTTCAAACCTTACTGGCCACCTCTATTTAATCTCTACCTCCTCTAGTTTTATTATTACTGCAAAAGGAATCTTTCTAAAAGATTGGCATTATCTTTTACTTTCCTGGTCAATTTTTTAAAGGTTTTGTATGCTTATAGAATAAATGCCAAACTCCTTCCTTTAGCATCCAGGACTGTCAGTGTTTTGGTCCCCTTGGCAGTACTATCCTTCACATGGCCTACACTCTGGCCCAAGAAGTTAGCTCCCACTCACCTGATTTCTATGTCTCACAGTCTTCTGTCTCTAAGCCTCTTATGATGCCAAGCTTCTTAACAGCTTCACTCCAATGCCAACAAGACCATTTCCTTTCCTATTTCTTCACTCTTCAAAGCCCAGTTCAAAAGATGCTGCAATATTTGCCAGGAAGACTTCCCAATACCTTCACTCTCCCCAGAGCATTAATCTTAACCCTCTGGTCCACTCCTACCTGCCACCAACAGCACCTTAAGCACATTCCCTTGTATTACAATTATTTATTTATTTATTTTTATTGATTGATTTTTTTGAGAAAGGGTCTTACTCTGGCGCCCAGGCTGGAGTGCAGCGACATGATCACAGCTCACTGTAACCTCAACACCTGTGGGCTCAGGTGATCCTCCCACCTCAGTCTTCTGAGTAGCTGGGACTATAGGGATGCACCACTATGCCTAGCTAACTTTTGTATTTTTTGTAGAGACGGAGTTTTCCCATGTTGCCCAGGCTGATCTCCAGCTCCTGGGCTCAAATGATCTGCCCACCTCAGCCTCTCAAGTGTTGAGATTACAGGCACAAGCCACTGTGCCCAGCCACAATTATTTACATTTACAGTTTACCTCCTGTACTAAATTCATTATAGACAAGTTCCATGTTTTGTTGTTCTATTCCTCCACTTGAAAACAGTGTGGGAAAAATGTCCTTAAAGGTTTGCAGCATTACTTTATATACTTTAATTAGAGATTAAAACTGGAACAATGACACAAAACATATGGCCTAAGTATAATTATCTCTGGTGTACATATTATTTTTCTCTAATAAGGAACAATAAACTCCCCATAATACCATTAAGAATCATTTTTAAACTAAGTCAAATCCCCCCAACCAAAACTGAGATTAAAGTATCTTTTGGATTAGAAGAGAAGTTAATGACTATGGCTTTTTCTATCCAAACATCTGGCTCCAATAGTCAAGAAATGAATTCAGGAATTAATCTCTATTCATCAAGAAATAAGTATAATTAACACACATAGACAAAGCCACACGGATGCTTTCAACACTGTTTACAGAATTCCAAATTTTGTGATAATTCAGGTTTATGTTATTTCATTTTTGTGTCAAAATTTAGTTTCTCCCTTCAAAGGAGGCAACAGTCTTGCACCCCCAGCTGCCTTGGCCTTCTTACTTGAGCCTTTAGCATCCAGCTCTCAGTAGTTCAGATTTACAATCACCCTCAAAACTTGCAGTGCCTAATAGATCAAAGAAACTTTATAAGTAATTAGGGACCTTTCCTTTTGGGTTAGTGTCATTATAACAACTTAACTGCTCTACTGATTTTTCTGGAGACGAAAAAGGAAAAGTCTATGCCTTATTAGGAAAGTGTTGGTGGCACCAATGATTAAAAACTCAAAAATTAGATGCATAGTTCTATAGTAAGTTTGTAATTCTTAGTCCAGAAAAAGATATCAGATTACTCTGTTGAAATACCAAGAGGTTAGCCAAAATGGGGATATCTAGCTAATTTAATTCTGCTTATTAATCCGTAATTAACAAACTTTGAATGAGAACAATAAAATTAAAATAGGACAACAATGATAGTCATTTCAAAGTCATTTGATGTTAAGGAAAACACATTTTAAATGTTGATGGGTAATATCATTACATGATATAACGAATACATCAGAAAATCACCTGTATTTTATGGTATATTCTGTATTTTAGTTTTTAAGAAAATCTTGTTTACCCATCTATGAAGGCATTGAGGGGAAGAGCATCACCATCCCTATCTAAAATAAACACCTCACACAAAAACTAACTCAAAATGGATCACAGACCTGAACGTAAGCACTGAAATATAAGTGAAATTTTTATGGCATGGGATTAGGCAATGGCTTCGTCACTATAATATGAAAAGCAGAAGCAAATTTTGTATTTTTTGTTGAGTTGAGGTTTCGCCATGCTGCCAAGGCTGGTCTCAAATTCCTGAGCTCAAGTGATCCACCCACCTCGGCCTCCCAAAGTGCTGGGATTACAGGAGTGAGCCACGATGCCTGGCCAAAATGTCCTGATTTTTAATACTGGGCCTCTACCATGCTGGTGGGCCAGATTAAGCTCAGAGGCCATCTAATTGTGATCTCCAATTTTCTTCATTTGTGAACATGTGCTTCCAACTAGCCTTTCCAAGTCTGGAGACTCTGAATGCATTTTCCCCATGAGAATAAAATAAGTAGCAATTTGGTTCCAGACTCATTATACAGGAAAACTACAGCACTAAACTACTAGCACTATTATCACCTAAAACAGTGATCCCCAGCCTTTTTGGCACCAGGAACTGGTTTTGTGGAAGACAATTTTTCCAGGGACCAGGTGGGGGATGGTTCAGGATGATTCAAGGGCATCATATTTATTGTGCACTTTATTTCTATTTTTACATTGTAATATATAATTAAATAATTATACAACTCACCATAATGTAGAATCAGTGGGAGCCCTGAACTTGTTTTCCTGCAACTAGATGGTCCCATCTCGGGGTGATGGGAGACAGTGACAAATCATCAGGCATCAGATTCTCATAAGGAGTGAACAACCCAGATCCCTCGTATGCACAGTTCACAATAGGATTTGCACTTCTATGAGAATCTACTGTCACCACTGATGTGACAGGAGGTGGAGCTCAGGCAGTAATGGAAGTGATGGGGAGTAGCTGTAAATATAGATAAAGCTTTACTTGCTCGCCCACCCACCGCTCATCTCCTACTGTAATGCCCAGCTAACACACAACAGACAGCTACTGGTCTGTGGCCCAAGGGTTGGGGACCCCTGACCTAGACTAAACAATTAACAATGTTTGTATTAAAAACAACTTATTCCAAGTTTCCATTTTAGACTCTAGAACATCTGAAATGGTGAATCCACAGGTAGTAAATGGGAAGGAGGTAACAGAAAAATTGAAGGAAGTGGAAGCAGCACTGGGAGGGCACTGGTGAAGGGTCTCGGGAAAGAATTCAAATCTTCAGACTTGCGCAGTGGCTCACACCTGTAATCCCAACACTTTGGGAGGCTGAAGCAGGAGGATCACTTGAGCCCAGAGTTCAAGACCAGCCCGGGAACATGGTAAAATCTCATCTCTACCAGAAAAAATATCTATATATACAACAAATTAGCCAGGTGTGGTGGCACACACATGTACTCCCAGCAACTTGGGAAGCCAAGGTGGCAAGACCGATTGAGCCCGGGAGGAGGAGGTTACAGGGAGCCAAGATAGTGCCACTGTACTCCAGTCGGGTTACAGACAAAGACCCTGTCAAAAAAGAAAGGAAGGAAGGAAGGAAGGGAGGGAGGGAGGGAGGCAGGGAGGGAGGGAGGGAGGGAGGAAGGAAAAATCTTCTATGGTGGATAGTGGCATTGGCTTTTAGAATTTCTCTGAAGGTCTGTGTCATCTATAGGCAACAAATTGACAGGAGAAAGAGAAAAGAAAAAAAAATGGATATAGCATTTCAGCTGCTGCACACTGTCTCAGCAGTAGCAGTAGCTGAAATTCCTGTAGTTCTTCCAAGAGGCCAGTGATCTCAGGAAGAATTCTGTCAATTACTCGTAAGTCATTCATCACAAATTGAGAATGTCAAATAATTAGCCTTAAAAGAAAAATCTATGAAGCCAAAGGTAAATCCATCTGCCTACTAGAAGATTAAAGTAAGATTTATGTTCTAAAGGTACATGTATTACTAAAGTAACAATAAGTTGACTTTTGCTATTAACTGAAATTTACCCATGGCTACTTCTATGAACTCTGAATTTTCTACTCATAAATAAATATTCTACCTTGAGATTATCTGTAGCAAACATTTAAGCTCAGAAAAGAAATACTACCTAGTATTTCTGGTTACCTTTGCTAACATTCAGTTAATATATAGCTAAAGAAATGCAAGTGATTTGAACCTTATCCTAAAAGTAAACGTGATTTTTAAAATAAAATTTGGAAATTTTTGGAAGTCAGTTATTGAAAATATTTCACAATATGACTTTATCAAATAGTTCTGAGGAATAGTCCTCAAGTTTTTTGGCAACCTGAAGATCAGCTGATACACGCTCAGGTAAACATTAAAACTGCTTACTGTTCCTATGTAAAATCTAACTAAGAAAATTAATCTGTTACACAGAAAAAAATCATATGTAATCTAACTTCTAACAGGAAGGACCACTGGATTGATTTTATGGCCACTCCTTTCTATTAACATAAAAAATTAAGATGCTACTCTAAATAGTGTGGTTTACCAAATTTCAGATTCTTAGTGTGTCTGTTCCCCTCCATTAGTATAGAAATCAAACATACAACTGAATTTGGAAGGGGTGTTAATATTATGAAGAGTTATTGGAGGTTTTTAAGTAAGGAGATACTCAATGTCTTTTCATACTATGATTTACTAAACTAGACAGCCAATTCCATTCTATATAAGAAATGCTTCAAACATCTCACAATTATTTTTTGAAAATATTTAGCTTATAACTGCCTTTATAGAGAATCTGCCTTTATAGAGATTTTGCTTGGTACATCAGGTACCAAGCAAAGCAAGACAAAAAAGTGTAAAAAATAAGAGATTACAGATTTTGAACTCAACCAAAGTCAGTCTCAACCACCATATTAGATTTTTTCTAAAACAAAACTTTAAGGCATTTTTGTATTGTATAATTTGCAAAAATGAAATTGTCAATTGTAAAACATACCTTGCTGAGCTAAAGTAGATCTAAGCATCCCAGTCTTTGACCAAATTTTTATTTGCCCATCTTCTCCAACTATACAGGGAAAAAAAATTTAATCAGTATTTTTACCTATAGAAAATAAATTTAAACATTAAATTTGCATATAAAAATTAACAGTATCTATACTACTGCATATTCTTTTTTTTTCTAGGCTTCCTCAAATCATGGAGTATTACTGCATATTTAAAATTCAGAACATCACATACCGGGGCCTATCATGGGGAGGTGGGAGGGGGGCGGGATGGCATTGGGAGTTATACCTGATGTAAATGACGAGTTGATGGGTGCTGACGAGTTGATGGGTGCAGCACACCAACATGGCACAAGTATACATATGTAACAAACCTGCACGTTATGCACATGTACCCTAGAACTTAAAGTATAATAATAATAATAAATAAATAAATTAATTAATTAATTAATTTTAAAAATTCAGATACAGTTTAATTAAATGGCAGAGTACTTTATAACTGTATCATTTAATAGAAATTACTTTGAAATGATTTTATCAAAGTAGCTTAACTTTCATGACTAAAATTTTTATTTCCTTCAATCTTAGAAGACTTATAAGTATATTACGCAAATAATGTTTCCTTTGTCACTGCAATCTCCATCTTAGAATTCCAAGAAAAGTGTTTCCAGTGTAATAAGCAGAGCTGCAGCCAAATTCCAGTGAGCTGGGGACTGAATGAAGTGAGGTAATAGACTACTCTTTTGAACAGCTTGGCTGAAAAAGGGAGAAAGAAAATAGTTGCAGGTAGAGAGTTGTTTGTTAAGAGAGGGATTTCTATTTCTTCTTAATTTTTAAGATGGGTGACATCTGAACATATTTACATGCTGATAAAGAAACCATTGGAAAAGATGTTAAAGATACAAGTAAGAGAAGGGCCAGTTCACTGAGGAAAGTCCTAGAGAAGGCCCAGAGTATAGGCATGGTGGTTTTAAAATACATCCTCAAGTTCTTTGTTATTCTTCCCTTCAAGTGGCACAGTTTAATTTCCCTCTCTTCCAGTGTGGGCTGTACTTGGTGACTTGCTAAGTTAACAGAATATAACTAAAACAGAGTATAATGTCTGAGGATGCACTACAAAAGATATAGTAGCTTCTACCTGGCTCTCTTTTGGATCACTGGGAGACACCAGCTGTCATGTTGTAAAAACACTTAAGCAGCCCTATGGAAATGCCTGTGTGGCAAGGAATTAATTAAGGTCTCCTTCCAAAGCTAGAGAAGAACTAAGGCCTCCTGCCAACAACCACGTGAGTAAGACATCTTGGAAGTGGATCCTCCAGCCCCAGACAAGCCTTCATATGACTGCCGCCCCATCCAACAATTTGACCAGAACCTCATGAGAGGCTCTGAGTGAGACAGAACCACCCACCTAAACTGTTCCCTGACCCACGGAAACTATCAGGTACTATATGCTTATTATTTTAAGTCACTAATGATTAATTTGTTATAAGCAATATGTAACTAATGTAATAGGTGAAGTTGAGAATCCTTAGAGTAGGGCAGGAGACGGGAAAGAGACAGAATGGGGATAACGGTCAGTTAAATGAGAATATTTGGAATTTTCAAATTTTAAAGAATTACAACTTTTATTTATCCCATATTTGACCATTCCAAAAGCCTTCTTTGACAGAACAGTCTCCAAAGGTCACATAAGAAAATGATTAATATAACATTCTGAATTATAACATTTATATAGCAGTGTAGAACAATACTATGCCAATTATTTGCTATCAGACAATGCTATTAGACATTATTGCTAAATGAAAATATTCTGTTTCTTTGGAAATTTTTTTTTAAAATATTCATTTCAAATGTCATTTTAACAGACAACTTACCTGTAACTAATGCTGTTCCTTCATAATTCCATCTTCCTGCAAGTACTGCTCCACAGTGAGCTTCTATACTTTTTTCCACTCTTCCTAATTTGGAAATCAGATGAAATTTACCTAAAAGAAATTACATGTGAAAAATCTATTTTATTTATTCAATCAACAAAGCACCTACTACTAGACTAAGTAACAGGCACTAGAGGCATAAAGGCAAATATTAACAATATAATTATTCTTAATCTCACACATAAATCTGTTGGAAAATAGGCACAAAAACAAAACTATTTAAATATTTTAAAATAAATTGAAAATGTATATGCTTACTTGGTTCAAAATAATTATATATGTTCAAAATAGGGAAAAATTCAAATTCATAAACCTTTTGATTTAGTTAACATAATTTAAATACCTATGGTCTGGGTATATGTCTATGCTTCAGAAACAATGTGCCAATAAATATGCCACACCTATGGATGAGAAAGTGTTTTAAATTACCAGCTGTATATTACTAGACTTAATGATCATTCAGAAACCAAATGATCCTTTCTTGGCTTCTTGTATCACTTATTCTTTGCACTGTTGACTTGTCTCTCTGACATCTCTTACATAATTAGCTTATGTCCTTTAAAGTTACAGTGTTTTTACTTTTTGCCAATATATGTACAAACTTCTGCAACTAAGTGGCTTGCTTTTGTCTACCTGTTGCCTGATACAGTATAAAATTATATAAGGCAAGTATTTTATCCATTTTACTATTTTGGTTCCTCTCCTTTATACCTTTTCCAGCTTTTTTATAGTCTATTTAAAAAAAAAAAAAAAAGTCAAGACTGCAAAACTGTGCTTAAATACAAGACTTTCTTGACATTTCTCTTGACCTTCCCTTGGCCACATCACAGCAGAGTTTTATGTCTCTCTGATTTATCATAGCACTGTATACATATGTCTATTATGTTACTTGTTTCAAGGTTTTATATTCACAGTTCTTAGCTCTGTCCATTGAAAGGGCCTTGAAGCAAATACACCCCATTGGAATGAGCACAGCTAGCACTGTTATCTTGTTTTTTTAAATACCATTAACCACCAGAAAAAGAACAGGTCTCTGTGGAAAATGGCTGATTTGGGGGCTGGGACTAAGAAAGTACAAGATAAGCCTGGAACATCTTGTGCCAGCAAGGAAGTGCTCAAAAAATGATGAGGACACATATAAAATTAAAAAAAAAAAAAAAAATCACTGTGGCTGGCCTGATGGGGCTCTCACTGGCCAAATCTGGGGCACTTTTAACATCAAAATCTAAAAATGATAATAATATATTTATGAAATAAAATGAGAATCCACAAGTGTAATCTGAACCCCCCCCCCCAAAAACAAAAAACAAATAAATATATGGGCATGGGACAGGAACCTCTTCCTTGGAGTAGAATACCAACTAATCAATATGGAAGGAATTATGGAGTTGGAAAAATTACCATTTGGCAAACCATCTTAGTAATAAATGATTCAGCCAAGAGTCATCAATAGATGTTAAGAGAGTGGGAGGAAGTTTGATGAGGAAGAGAATATTTTTACATAGTCTCAAAGTATCCTTTCACAAATTATTAAGAGGAATAAATAGTAACTTTACAGAATTAACTTAATGAACATGAACTTTTTAACTTATAATTAAGGTTAACATCACCAATAATGGGTCAAACCAACATCATTAATCTCCTAATCTGATGCCCCAAGTATTCCTGCTAAGGACATATAAATTGAATCTAATCATGAGGAAACATCAGACAAAAACAAATTGAAGAACTATAAAATAACAGGCATATATTCTTCAACACTGTCAAGATCATAAAAGACTGAAAAGTTGTTCCAGATTAAACGAAGCTAAAGAGACACAACAAAAGCAATATGTTATCCCGTACCAGCAAAAATAAATTTCTATGGAAAATTAGAACGATTGTTAAAATTTAAATATAAACTATAGATTAGATAATAGTATTGCATCAATGTTAAATGTCCTGATTTGTATCAACAAATTGTGGCAATGTAACAGAAACTTCTTATTCTTAGGAAATGCATTGAAGTATTTATGGTTAAAAGTACATGTCTGCAAATTGCTCTCACATCTTTCAGGAAAAGGGTGTATGTTGAGGGGGAGGGAGGTTTGTATAAAAAGAAACAGAGCCAATACTTTGTCCCAATGTATAAGGGACAAAATGTTAAACTAGTTAATCTGGATAAAGGACCTGCAGGAATTGTTTGTACGATTCTTAAAACTTTTCTGTAAATGCAAAATTAAATCAAAATTGTTTAAGTCAAACGCTCCCTTTATCATCTGAGGTAAATTAAATTCTAGCTGTGGTTCAGGGTCAATCTTCTAAGCGCCAGGCACTCTGCAAAGTGATTTTACACATGTATCTCATTTAATCAAGTTTCTGAAAAACAAAGTTTTAAAAAACTACCACAAGTCTCTCGGTAAATGAGGTGTAATCTGATATTATTGTTTGTCCTAACATCCTTTCCATCTTCAGGTTACAAAAGCCCTCTTCTCTTCTCTTTCCCTTTGCATGTGGATGGTCTGAGGCTGGATATGCTCAATCAGTGTCCCATTGTCTTTTTTTTTTTTTTTTTTTTTTTGAGATAGAGTCTCGCTGTCACCCAGGATGGAGTGCAATGGCAAAATCTCGGCTCACTGCAACCTCTGCCTTCCAGGTTCAAGCAATTCTCCTACCTCAGCCTCCAGAGTAGCTGGGACTATAGGCATGTGCCACTATGCCTGCCTAAAATTTTTTTGTATTTCAGTACAGACAGGGTTTTATCATGTTGCTCAGGCTGGTCTCGAACCCCTGACCTCAAATGATGCACCCGCCTCAGCCTCCCAAAGTCCATTTCTCTTGACTAAACTGATTGACTCAGTGATGGGCATATGACCCAAGCTCATTTAGGGTCCCTCTGCAAGCTGCCTGTACAAGATACTGAGGAAGAAGCAGTCTTATGAAGTATGATGAGCCTTGGGCTACTGGCCACCGTCATACTCACCACCATGTTCACCATGTGCAAAGAGCCTACCCAAGAGATGGTGAGAACAGGGACCTGATGCAACTAGTTCTTGATCTACCCCTACAGCTAGGTGAACCAAAATACTCCATTTGTGCTTAAGTTAGCCAAGTAAGTTTCTGTTACTTTCAATGAATGTACTCCTAATTGAAACAGCAGGTAAAGTATAACACAGATGAAAACAGTTCATGTACTTCTAAGAAAACAAATATAAAAACATACCCTTAAAAAGTGAAAAAAAAATCATACTTCCTATTCACCAATAAGAAAGCTGCAGTCAAATTATAAAACTCTTCAACTCTGTAACTGAAAATTAACATGTACTGAAAAATAAAGTATATATTTTAACAGATACTTTACTAAATGAATATGTGTATCTTTTCAGTGTGGTTATATTAAGTTAAATTTGAAGAATTTAGAAACTAAAACTATGAGAAAAGCTTAACTCAACTCATAAGAGTACTAAAAAAGTAAAGCCAGCTGGGCATGGTGGCTCATACCTGTAATCCCAGCACTTTGGGAGGCCAAGGCAGGAGGAATGCTTGAGGCCAGGAGTACAAGACTAGCCTGGGCAACAAGATGAGACCCTGTCTCTACAAAAAAAAAGTTTTAATTAACCAGATGTAATAGTGTGTGCCTGTAGTCCCAGCTACTCATGAGGCTGAGGCAGGAAGATTGTGTTAGCCCAGGAGTTTGAAGCTACAGTGAGCTATGATTACACCACTGCACTCTGGCCTGGGCAACAGGGTGAGACCCCGGTCTCTAAAAATATATATATATAATAATGCCAAAGGCCCATATTCGATCCTGGTATATGCCAGTTAAATTAACTTTCTTCCATGACAATAATTTCATAGCCCATACACAAACCAAGTGACTATTCAGAAAAGAAATAAATGTGTGGATAAAAATACGCAGATCCACAAATACCAGTTTTGTAAAACAACTCAAAGCATAAATCATCCTATTAAGTCTTTTAAATACAATAGTGAGTACATAATGTTTATTTAAAACTTACCATCAGAACTTGTGAGGACAAAGCTTTCTGCCTGAGTTTGTTTCTTTACACCCAAACTTTTAGGAAACCAGTGAAAATCGATAGGGTAAATATCATCAGGAAGCTTTACTATTTGAGTTGTTTCACTGGTTAACAAGTTCCACTTCACTATCTGGTGATCATCGCTACATGAATACAGCTCTTCAGCAGTAGTCCAGCCCACACAGCTTACTAATTCTTGATGTGTCACCATGTTAAGGAGACATAAAACATAACAAAAGTCTTAAATCTTAATTCACAGATGCAGATTATAAGGTGTAAGTAAAGTATAATTCACAGATGCATATTTTAAGATGTAAGTAAAATAGGGTCAAATGTTTTCAAGCTTCTAAATGTATTCTCCATTTTATGACTAGTATTTTTTTCTATATAAAAGAAAATAAGCATCTATTAAAACAGTTGTAAGAATGGAAAGCAAGAAAGAAATCCAGATGCCAAAAGGAGGGGGAGAAAAGATCTGACCACATGAAAATTTAAAACTTGTGTTACACAATATTCCATAAACAAAGCCAAAAGGTACACAAAAGAAACCTAGTAGATCAAAAGGTATCAAAGAATCTACACTGAACTGTTGGGGGATAGGTAGGGAGCAAAGGGAACTATACTTTTATCTTTATATATATCTGTATCATTTAAGTTATTAAAATAAGCATGTATTCTTTTGCTAAGGAAAAAATAATCAAGTGTCAAAAGAAGACTGAAATCTAACAGTAGACTATCCTTTTAAATCACATATTATCATAACAATTTACCTAGGAAAGAACCTATGGTTTAACAGCTGAAACTAAAATCTCACCAAACTTTTTTTAAATTTTTCATTTTATTTCTTCATTTATTTTTAATTGACAATAGCAAACTTTCCTACATTAAAATTAGGAAATAATTCAATTATAATTTACCTCACTTAAAAGATGCATAGTGCTGGATGAGATATGATCCCTAAAATTTTTACTTTATTTAACCCATTTTTTTAGCTCTAACTTATCAGAAGAATTTCTACGTAAGTTGAGATGCTCAAGTAGCCCTCACTTCCTCCATCAGGACAGGGTACTTACCCTAGCAGAATTGCGTACCCACAAGGCATTTCAGTTTGTTATTTACAAAGGATGTTTTCTCTTGCTACATCTGGATTTCTATATTGCCAGATTATTCCTGGTTGAGTTGTTTGTTCTTACTGTTATGATATAATCCTTTTATTTCCTTCATTTCTCACCAATACTTTTACTGTCTTATCTGAGCAATAATATGATAAAGGAAACAGAGACAATGTGCCTAATTATTCTAGTATGTTCCAAGATTTTTTAATACTTCAAAATATGATAGATTAAGCAGAAACCAAAAAAATAAAGAGAGATTATAGAAAGATCTTAAGAGTCTGCACAAAAAGGTAATAAAGAGACACAAGAATACTCAAAACTCGAAACACAAGCTAAACAAAAGGACACTAGATCATTCCTGAAAAAACTGTTGTATTATCACTGCTGTCGCCTAAAGAATGTTAGGTGAAACTAAAATGGGAGTAGCTTAGGTAAAACCTAGAAAGGAAGAAAACTCACGCAAACAAATATGCACACATCGCAAACCAAAAATCATTAGCTTATCCTTATATAAATTGCTGTAAGTACATGCTAGATGTCCATGGCATTATCTTCAAACTAATAGGTCAACTAAAACTATGGGAGAAATGAGAAGACTGCCGGATCAAGAAAGTCTAAAAACATTGTTATTTCTTGGTCTGAAAGCAGACAGTAGATATGGTCAAAATCTATAAAATTGTGTATGGCATGAACTCTTGAAAGCACACTTTTTTGAAAAGACAGTAAAAATGACTTAAGTAGGAATAAAAATAATTACGTCTTCACTTAATAGTTAAATAAGCAGACAAGATAATATAAATGAAAACACCTACCAATTTAAAATGTCTGACCAAATGTTTAAATCAGTGTTTTCCTAGTTCTGATGAATGACCAGATTTTTCTTTATTTTGAATCCATTGCAGATAGATATTTTGTAAGATATAATAAAAATGAAATATTAGAAAATTTGGACATTATAACAATGTCAAATTACTACAAAAATTTCTCAGCCCTTACTTTCAATTTCTTTATCTATTCTTTCACAGACTTGCAATGAAGTCTACAAAGGATGCTTTGAGTAGAATTAGTCTCAGTGTCTAAGAATGATGATACTTGGGTCCTGTCATAATTCCTTGACACATAACTGGGGACTCTTGCTGAAAAATATAGGGTCATGTGTTTGAGAAAATATTACTAACTGCCACCTTCTCATGTGAAATAATGAGGATCTGACTGCTCAGATTTCCCCAACTTATCCTTTACCTTATCATGAATGTAAAGAAATAGAGTATGGCGGAATGAATACATGATAGATCACACTAGCAAAGAAACTATTTGGTTTTACAAAAGCTTCATTTTGGCCAGGCATGGTGGCTCATGCCTGTATTCCCAGCACTTTGGGAGGCCGGGGCGGGTGGATCACCTCAGGTTGAGAGTTCGAGACCAGCCTGGCCAACATGGTGAAACACCATCTCTACTAATAATACAAAAATTAGCCAGGCATGTTGGCGGGTGCCTGTAGTTTGAGCTGCTCATGAGGCTGAGGCAGAAAAATCACTTGAACCCAGGAGGTAGAGGTTGCAGTGAGCCAAGATTGCACCACTGTAGCTTCTTTTTAAGACCCTATTAAAGTAAACAAAAACTGGTTTTTAAGTATTTAAGTATAGTACTTAAGCAAAATAAGAAAAATGTCAATAAGAATTTGAAAGTAAGATTTATAGCAAATGGTTCACTTTGGAGAATTACCTAAAACACATGATCTTAAATATTTTAAAACAATTTAGATAAACAGCTACTAAAGGAATGAAAAAAACATCTATTCTTCAACTAGAATATAAAATAGAGAAACTTTTAACAATACTATAATTAAGAAAATCCATAAGATTTACAACCATTAAAAGGATATGCTTTGGTTCTTTTAAAAGAGTTATCTTCAGTCTCATGACTCCACTTCCAGCAAAAATTTAAGATGCCACTTGATTGTATTTACTGCAAAAATAAAAGGAGAGAAAATATAAAGTCAGCATTAAAAACAAATGTATATGTACACACACAAAAAGCAAACAAAACATCATTGCACCCCAAGGAGCACCTTCAGTCCTTCTGACATCAAGTACATGGAAAGAAAAAGAAAACTAGTTGGTGTGCCAATCCTACCAAGGGATGATGGAGAGCCTTGGGCTGAACCCCAGGAGTCCTCTAAACCTGCCCGAGACAGTCCTACGCAGAACACCACTAGGTAAATCTGGTCAGGTAAAGAATTTCCATGTCCTGTGACCAAATCAAAAAATTCCACAAACTGGGGACTCTTCAATTGCAAATCAATTTTGGTCTTGTCTACTGGATATAAATATCCAAGGTCTGACTGGCTCAGCTACAATTCTAGAATCCATGTGGAAAAATATAACATCATAAATCTAGTGGCCCAATCTGGGGTTGACATTCTGCAGTGGGGCAGATGCACTGCCCAACAGTTACGGTTACTACAGTGACAATGTGAAAAATAGGTGACTTATTTAAGGAAGAGGTAATAAACTGCTTATAAAAGTTATGTAAAAATCACAGTGTAATTGCCAAATAAAAACTTAGGAAAAGAAGAATAACATTCCCCAAATAGCCATATCATCAGAAGACACAAATCATTGCTATGAATATAGTTGTCGTACACAAAGAAAAGCTAGAAATCAAGAAAATGCTAAATTGTCTGAGTGTGATTTACATTTACAGAATTCTTTCTGAGTAGCATCACTAACCTAAATAGGCAAATATAAATCAAATGAAAGTGTAATTAAAGGGAAACAATCCTCTTTACTAAGTTGAAAATTACTGCTAACTACATCAAAGGAGGTACTGACTATAGATGAGAATTCAGTAGGCCTCCCTTAGATAATTTCTCATTCTCATGAATCCAAGAACCTTTAGATCAGCAAGGTGCTAAATAAAGCTGTATTTCAAAGTACTCTTTTCACTTCTTTCTCTTCCAGTTCTCCTAAGGTGATTTCTGTGGAATATCAAAAGTATGAAACTATGTGTAGCACAGCCAGAGCTAAAATACAATGTCTCCTAGGAACACTTCCTAGGTTCACTTCTTTGGTCTTTAGGAGTTCTCCACCTTCCTCCAAACTCCCTCTTCCATCAGGCCCCCTCCGATTAGACAGGGGAAAAAAGACTAATAACATTTTATGAAATGCTGCTTTTTCACAATAATTGAAATTTACTCAGCTTATAAGGATTTTAAAAGAAGAAAGGCAGATAAATATTTGCTTCTGGAAATGAAAACACAATAGATAACAAAATACACATAAAAACTGAATATACTATTACAATCAGAAACTTAAAAGACATGATGGATTCTACATCAGAAAACCTGAAACTGCCGAAATCCATCATAATTACGATAATTCCTCACGAGAATAAATAATAATCACCTATAAATAGTAGAAGCAGTATGGTTTTTATAAGAAAGGAATCACTAACCATTCAGAAACATCATGCCAAGGAATCAGAGAAAGTAAGACGATGGCATTCTAACACTGGGAAGATTCTCCCTTAACGATCATCCTCACACATTCCATTTATCTGAGTCCATCTGTATGAATGACATGTGCACTTTCATGTGGGATTGAATAAGGGAATAAAAGAAAAGTAATGTTAAAACACAGCCAATTTGGGGAAGTGCAGAACTGCCTGAATGCTGCATTGAGGTGTTTTTATCTGCCTAAAGGGATTGATCGCGAGGATCTGACTAACCAGTGGTATTGGGGCAGGGGCTGGGTTTAGATAATAGACAGACAATTTTGAGGGTATAGGTAACTTTGCAACTTTACATAGGGAGCAAGTAGCAGCAACTATGTCTTTGCTACTAAAAATCATGTATAAGTTGTTTTTGGTCCAGTATGGGTCAACATTTATGAGGCTTGAGAGGAAAAAATGTGCAACAAAATCTGAGTCCAACCACTAAAATACACAGCAAATCTGGTCACTTCTCAGCACCTCCATCATAAGCCAAAGCCACCACCATCCCCTGCCTCGATTATTGCAGTGGCCTCAAAATTGATCTTCCTATTCCTACATTTACCCCTACGAACTATTCTAAATACACCAGCCAGTAATTCTTTTAAAGTTAAGTCAGAATATGAAGGCCAGTATGCCTAAAATAAAATGAGTGAGGGACTGGCAGGAAATTAGGGAAGGAGAAGGTGGGACACAACATGCAGGGCCTTGGAAAGTCATAATAAAAGCTTTAGTTTTTCTTCTGAATGAACCAAGAAGCCAGTGGAGAGGTTATGAGCAAATAAGCAATATGAACTGACTTACATTTTAAATGGATGCGATGGATGGTATACAATAAAGAGCCTATCCAGAGGGAAAATGAATAAGACTGGATGCAGTAAGACCAGTTGGGATTTCAATAATCCAGAAGAGAAATGAAAGTGACTTAGATAAAGAAGGACAAGGAAGGCAATAGTACAAGCAGCATGAAGTAGTCATATGCTAAATATATTTTGAGGAAAGATTCCAGAAGATTTGCTGGTGAATTGAGTTTAAGAAAAACAGTAGTGGCCAGGCGCAGTGGCTCACACCTGTAATCCCAACACTCTGGGAGGCAGAAGTGGGCATATCATGAGGTGAGGAGTTCGAGACCAGCCTGGCCAACATGGTGAAATCCTGTCTCTACTAAAAATACAGAAATTAGCTGGGCGTGGTGGCGCATGCCTGTAATCCCAGCTACTCAGGAGGCTGAGGCAGGAGAATTGCTTGAACCCGGGAGGTGGAGGTTGCAGTGAGCCGAGATCGCACTACTGCACTCCAGCCTGGGCATCAGAGCAAGACTCAGTCTCAAAAAATTAAAAAGAAAAACAGCAGTAAAAAATGACTATAAAGTTTCAATAGGTAGAATGGAGTTGCCATTTATTGAAATGAGGAAGACTGAGAAACAGGTTGGAAAGGGTGATATCAAACATTCTGTCTTGGATATGTTAAGTACAAGGTTTCTATTAGACAACCCAATGGAAAAGTCAAAAAGAAATGAGATATAATATAGTTAAGTCTGGAGTCAAGTGGGAAGTTGGAGTTGCATATATCAATTAGATATCAACTTGAGGGTTGTCAGCAAAAACATCATATTCAAAGCCATGGAATAAGATGAAATTGCCAAAGAGACCATGAAAAAGTGGTAGATTCAATGGCCTGGAAATCCTACTGAAGTCTTTAGAATTGTTAGCATTAAGATTCCAGAAGAAGTTAACTAGCAAAAACAAGTGGAGATAGACAATGGGATACTTAAAACAGATTTTAGAGCCAGTATAGATATTGGTAACAATAAGATGGGTTATGACTGTTAAAGTGGGTGGCTGAGGTCAAGGAACTGACAGGCCAGGGATTTATTTGTGGACATTTTAAATCGCTGAAGATAATGACAAGAAGAGTAGTAGAGATAAGGACAATTAGCCAGATGCTAAAATATTCATTGAATGAGGGAAGAGCAAAGAGCTATGCAGATGACCGCATAAAAGCACAGCAGAGAATGGTTCAATCTGGTAGGACTTGTTTCAAAGGGACTAGGAGATTTTAGAGAGGAAGGAGAAAGAGAATCAAGTGTCCAGATACAGTAATAAGAGATAAGACTCTGACATATGGGAGTTTGGGAGGCAAAATAGCTTCTACTTGAGAGATCTGTAAGAAAAGCAGTTTCCAGCAATGGGCATGGTGGCTCATGCCTGTAATCCCAGCACTTTGGGAGACCGAGGCAGGCGGATCTCACCTGAGGTCGTGAGTTCGAGACCAGTCTGACAAACATGCAGAAACCCCGTCTCTATAAAAATACAAAATTAGCCGGGTACGGTGGTGCATGCCTGTAATCCCAGCTACTCGGGAGGCTGAGGCAGGAGAATTGCTTGAACCCGGGAGGTGGAGGTTGCGGTGAGCCGAGATCTCACCATTGCACTCCAGCCTGGGCAACAAGAGTGAAACTCTGTCTCAAAAAAAAAAAGAAAAAGAAAAGCAGTTTCCTTAGGAAACAACCAGATTTAGGTTAGACTTTGAGAGTAAAGGGATCATTCAGAATAAAAGCTAAGGACACTGATTTGGCTAATGACACACTGTGAGGTCTAAAAAAATTTAGATGGTGAAGAACTAATGGTTTAAGATAGATGGTTGGAGATGGTAGAAACAGCTAGCTATCGTGCAATATGCCTTCATCCCTGCTTCTGTGGTATAGGAATCTGAAGTTTTGCTGTACATCTGGCCACCTAGAACAAACACTAAGTTTCCTAGCTGCCCTTGAAACTAGGTGTGGCCACCCAAGGCATTAATAATACTGAAACCAACAGTGGCTATTATAATATCATCAGCCTACTGTCCCAATCTGGATTTTATATTCTGTGAGGGGTAGAAATGAGGTAAGAGACAGGACTCAACTCCAGAGCCAGGGCTCAGACACAGGACCAGATTGGGTACTGGCTAAAACACAGAAGAGGTGGAAGCACCTCTCTGTAAGACATGCCTATCAGTGTGCCGTATCAGTTTACCATTGCCATGGTAACACAAGGAAGTCACCTGTTTTTCCAGAAATTTCTGCATAGCTCACTTCTTAATTTGCATATAGTTAAAAGTGGGCACAAATATGACTGCAGAAGTGCCTTTGAGCTGCTCCTCTGGGCACAATGCCTATGGGGTAGCCCTGCTCCACAAGGAACAGTACCTCTGCTGCTGCTGTACACTATTGCTTCAATAAAAGTTGCTATAACACCACGAGCTTGCCCTTGAATTCTTTCTTGGGCCACGCCAAGAACACTCCTGGGCTAAGCCCGTTTTGGAGCTTGCCTGCCCTGCATCAGATACACTGCCCAACAGTAATAGTACCTAAGTTCATGTTGCCTAATTTCACAGTGAGTTATCTAAGGAACCCATTTCATTACTTCTTATAAACGTTATATAAAATCGCTGGGCACAGTGGCTCACGCTTGTAATCCCAGCATTTTGAGAGGCTGAGGCAGGTGGATCACAAGGTCAGGAGATCGAGACCATCCTAGCTAACATGGTGAAACCTCATCTCTACTAAAACTACAAAAAATTAGCCGGGCGTGGTGGCAGGCACCTGTAATCCTAGCTACTCAGGAGGCTGAGGCAGGAGAATCGCTGGAACCCAGGAGGTGGAGGTTGCAGTGAGCCGAGATTGCACCACTGCACTCTAGCCTGGGCGACAGAGCAAGACTCTGTCTCAAAAAAAAAAAAAAAAAAAAAAAAAAGTTATATAAAATCACAGCATAACTGAAATAAAAACTTGAAAGAATGACACTCCCCATGCCATGCCATCAAGGCCATGTATAACACAGCAAGATAAAAAAGAGCCAAGATTCCTGACCTTGTGGAAAATCACATCAATCCTGTACCATCAAAGTTTTAAGTGACAGAGAATAGTTGCATCATATTTAAGTTACTGTCATCAACAGCTAATCTTAATAACAAACTAATGCAGGGAATTAAGAGTCTTGAATGTGGAGACTGAGGTAAACAGGGATGTAAGGTAAGACATAGTAGTCCCAAATGTCTCTTGAGAAAAGGTGGCTAATCGATTTAAACTGTAGCCTTCTTGGAACTGCTCTCTTAGGCGGTAGTGATACAGACTTTCATAAGGAAAAAGGGGCAGTCCTCTAGCAGCATATGGAACTCAATGGGATTTCTTTTCAATCTTGATAAGGGTGTTGGCATTTACTTCACTAGCAGTTTAAGGAGGGAAAGGAACTACAGAGAATTACAGAGGAAATAACCAAATGTTAATTTCTCCTAATATCCCCAGCCTTAAATGGTAGGCTCAGTCCTTGCACCTCTTCTATATCTACACTCACTGCCATGGTGAACTCATCCAGTTTTATGGTTTAATATGAATGTAAATATATTCACCATATAGTGACAACTATTAATTTCATATTTCTAGTTCTTATCTCTCCACTGAACCCCAGACTTTTATATCTATTTGACAACTCTATTTGAATGTCTAACAGACATTTCAAATTTAAAAAGATCCAAATCAAACCCGATTTTCCCTCCAACTTTGCTCCTCCCACATTCTTACCCATGTTGGTAAATGGCAATTCCATTCTTCCAGTTACATACACCAAAAACTTCAGTCATCATTTACTCTTCTCTCATAAACCAAATCCAACTTCTAAATAAAAACATCTGTTGGCTTTATCTTAAAAATGTAAAACATTTCACCATCTCCACTATGACCGCAATCCAAGATGCCATGTTCTCTTAACCAGAATTACTACAACAGCTTCCTAGTTAGCCTCTGAGCCACTCTACAATGTATGCTCACCACAACAGCCAATGTAACTGATTTAAAATAAACCACAGCCAGGTACAATGTCTCATGCCTGCGATCACAGCACTTTAGGAGACCAAGGCAGGAAGACTGCTTAAGGCCAGGAGTTCAAGACCAGCCTGGGCAACATAGTGAGACCCTTTCTTTACAAAAAAATAAAAAATTAGCCAGGCATGGTGGTGAATGTCAGTAGTCCTAGCTACTTGGGAATGCTGAAGCAGTTGGACTGCTTGAGCACAGGAGCTTAAAGTTACACTGAGCTATGTCCATGCTGCTGAGCTCCAGCCTGGCCAACACAGTGAGACCCTGTCTCTAAAAAAAATAAATTAGATTAAATAAACCATGGTACTTTTCTGCTGAACACTCTTCAGTGGCTTCCTATCTCACCCGGAGTGAAAACAAAGTTCTCACAATGTTGTCCAAGGCCCCTATTAATCTGGATTTCCATTGTGATGGTTAATTTTATGTGATGACTTGGCTAGATTATGGCGCACAGTCGTTTGGGCAAACATTACTGTAAAGGTATTTTTTTACAGGTGAGTATAACATTTTCAACCAGTTAACTTTAAATAAGGCATATTACCCTGCATAATGTAGGTAGGCTTCATTCAATCAGCTGAAGGCCTTAAGAACAAAGACCAAGGTTTCCCCCACAAAAAAGGAATTCTGCCTCCAGACTACAACACAGAAATTCTGAGTTTCCAGCCTTTGGACTCAAAACTGCAACATCAACTCATATCTGAATTTCCAACGTACTGGACAGCATTGCCCTACAGATTTTATCCTTGTCAGCTCCCACAATCACATGAGACAACTCCTAAACTCTCCCTCTATATACAGACAGATAGATCTATGTATTTATGATTTTATATGGGGAATATATGTATATACAATATATATCTTATATATTATCTTATATATAATATATCATATATCATATATACACAGACACAGGTATATCTCATTTTATTGTGTTTTATTACACTTCACAGTTACTGCATTTTTTTTCTTTTTTTTTTTTTTTTTAACAAATTGAAGGTTTGTGGTAACCCTGCCTTGGGCAAGTCTATCAACCATTTTTCCAACAGCATGTGCTCACTTTGTGTCTCTGTATCACATTTTGGTAATTCTTGCAATATTTAAGACATTTTCATTATTATTATATCAGCCACAGTGATCCGTGATCAGTGATTTTTGATGTCACTATTTTAATTGTTTTGGGGCACCGCAAAGCATGACCATGTAAAACGGCAAACTTAACAGATAAATGTTGTGTGTTCTGACTGCTCCACCCTCCGGCCGTTTCCCCATCCCTCTCCTCAGACATCCCTATTCTCTGAGACACAACAATATTGAAATTAGGTGAATTAATAACCTCACAATGGCCTCTAAGTATTCAAGAGAAGGGTCTATCACTTTAAATCCAAAGCTAGAAATGATTAAACTTAGTGAGGAAGGCATGTTAAAAGCCCAGAGAGGCCAAAAGCTAGGCCTCTTGTGCCAAACAGCCAAGTTGTGAATGCAAAGAGAAAGTTCTTGAAAAAAATTGAAAGTGCTACTTCAATGAAAACACGAATGATAAGAAAGTAAAACTGCCTTATTGCTCATATAGAGAAAGTTTTAGTGGTCTGAATAGAAGATCAAAGCAGCCACAACATTCCCTTACGCCAAAGTCTAATCCAGAGCAAGGCCCTAATTCTCTTTTATTCTATGAACGCTGAGAAATCTCAGTGAGGAAGCTGAAGAAGAAAAGTCTGAAGCTAGCAGGGTTTGGTTCATAAGATTTAAGGAGACAAGCCTTCTCCATAACATGAAGGCAAAAAGTGAAGCAGCAAGTGCTAACTTAGATGCTACAGCAAGTTATCTAGATCTAGTTAAGATAATTAATGAAATCAGGTGGTTCCACTAAACAACAGGTTTTCAGTGTAGATGAAACAGTCAAGATGATGTCATCTAGGACTTTCACAATTAGAAAGGACAAGTTAATGCCTGGCTTCAAAGCTTCAAATGACATCCTGATTCTCTTGTTAGGTGCTAATGCAGCTGGTGGCAGAAAACTTTATTGTTATTTTATTTTAAGAAACTGCCACAGCCACCCCAACCTTCAGCAACCACCATCCTAATCAGTCAGCAGCCATTGACATCCAGGCAACATCCTCAGCCAACAATAACATTATGACTCACTGAAGTCTCAGATTCATTTTTTAGCAATCAGCATTTTTTAGCAATACAGTAGTTTTTCATTAAGCTATGTACATTCTTTTCTTAGATATATTACTACTGCACACTTAAGAGACTACCATGTGGTGTAAATATGACTTTTATATGCAGTGGGAAACCAAAAATTTCATGGGACTTACTTTATTGCAATATTAGCTTTATTGTGGTGGTTGGGTACCCAACCTGCAGTATCTCTGAGGTATGCCTGTACATACCCCATGTTGGTTCTGTTTCTCTAGAGAGCTCTGAGTAATATACCCATTATTTCTCTGACAATATCTTCTGCCTCTCTCCGCTTTCACTAAAACTGCTCCAGCCACAATGACATCTATGCTTTTCTTTCAAGCATGCTCCTGCCTCAGGGCCTTTGTATTTACCATATCCTGCCTGGAATCCCTATCCCCTGAGAGTTGTATGGCTTACTCCCCTTTCCTTCTTTATATCTTTGCCCAAAAGTCACTTCTCAGTAAAGACTTCTCTGTATACCCTATTACGTCTGTCTGTCATACTATGTATTTTACTTACTGTTGCCCCTTTCTAAGATGTAAGCTCCATAAGGGCAGAAATTTTTGTCTGTTTTGTGCACCCAAAAATCCCCTGCAACTAGAACCATGCCTTCCTTACAGTAAGTGTTCAGTAAACGTTTGTCCAATGAACAAATGGAGAAAATATGAAGCCAGTAGGCACAGCTTGTAAGTGCAGAGGTTAAAGATCTGTAAGTGTAGATAGATAGATGTAGTAGTATGTGTGTGTGTATTAATATGCTGTATATATATATACGTGTGTGTGTTAAAAAGTATATAAGTATAGGGGTTAAAGGAAAAAAATACAGCTATAGTTATGAAGGCCTTTTAAATTAGGGTACACCTTAGCATGTTTGGAAGCAAACAACAAGTTTGGAAGCAAAGGACCCAGTGGACAGGGATAGATTAGCAATATCATGGAAACAGAGGAAAACTAAGAGAGCACAGTCCCCTTAGAAATCATTTGATCAAGGGCACTGATAATAGGGTACCTTTTATTTTTAAAAATGTACAGATCCATAGTTCGTAGAAACATAAAGATGGTTATGGGCAATCAGAAACAAGAAGCAATGCCCAGCCTCAATTATAATTATAGAAATGAAAATTAAAACAACCAGATACATTGTTCTGTTCTCCGAGTGGCCAAATGCAAAATACCCAAAACCCAGTTGGCCAGTACAGAGAAACAGATACTTCCATACATTATTGAAGGGTAGGTCAATTGGTGCTGCATTTCCTATGTTTGGAGAATTCCATGTCTTATGAGTCCTTCTTCCCATTATACAAAACAAATTATTTCCTCGCTACACTTCCTTATAGCTGAAACATAGGTAAATATTAATAAAACTAAGGCTCTGCCAAATCTACGATCTATGCCATATTTTAAACTAGAAGCTACTGATGCAAAGGAAGTATCATATAAGCAATATACACGGGAATAATTGCTAGTCATAGGAATTCACTCTACACATATGAATGTACACCAAGATATACAGATGCTCCTCAACAATTTACAAAGGGGTTACATCCAAGAAACCCATCATAAGTTGAAAATATCATTAAGTCAAAAATACATTTAACATACGTAACGTACCAAACATCATAGCTTAGTCTAGTCTACCTTAAATATGCTTAGAACACTCACATTAGCCTATAGTTGCATACTATAACTTACCAGTTGTTTATGCCATGATCATGTGGTTGACTGGGAGTTGTGGCAGGCTGCCCGCTGCCAGGCATCCCAAGAGAGCATCATATCATGTATCGCTAGCCCAAAAAAAGATCAAAATTCAAAATTTAAAGACAGTTTCTACTGAAAAGTGCTTCCCTTTCACACCATCATAAAGTCAATACAAATCATGTCAAACCATCATAGTCTGAGACTGTATATTCAAATCTGTTCATTACAGAACTCTGTAAGTACTATCAAAAATTAGAAATTTAAATGTTTATAGATTTTACATCCCTGTGTGGATATATGTGTTTATAATATGGAAGAGTTAAAATCAGGAAAATATAATTAAGAGTTAGACCTAAGTAAGCATTATGCTAATTGAAAAAAGCTAGTAAAAAAGGACAAATACTGTATGACTCCACTTATATAAGGTAGTCAAATTCATAGAAACAAAAAGTAGAATGATGGCTGCCAGGGGCTAGGGGAAGGGAGAATAGGGAGTTATTGTTCAATGAGTACAGTTTCAGTTCTGCAAGATGAAAAGAGTTCTGTGGATGGATAGATGAATGAATGCATGTGACAGTGGCACAACTGTGGATATACTTAATGTCACTGAACTGTAAAACAGATGGTTTTTTAAAAAGAAAATAAAAGAATTAGATTTAGGAAATAAAACTAAGAGGTAAAAGCACTAACAATAAGAAAAATTTTAGGTGATAAACAGGGAGACCACGACTTGTCAACAAGAATGTACCCGTAGATAAGAAGTGGCAGAAATATCTCTAGTAGTGAACAAGAATGTGAAGGATAGATAAGAAATTTAAGAGCTAGATCACAAGCATATTTATACCAAGTTTTCTTTGGGTCACTTGCATACTAGTTAATAGAGACAGCAGGCTGGCTTATTACTAACCAAGGTCCTATTAAAAGAAGTACAGATTTTATCAACAGTCTCCTAAATTGATAGCTCTGACCAGACTCCTGTGTCTCTTCTCCAATAGAGAAAGGAGAAAGGGGAAAGGCAAGCCTTTTATTCAGATTGGTGCCATCACAGAACTTGCAGACTTGAGCTGAGATCTCTTGCATGGTAGAAAAGAGAGAAGCAGGCTCACCATTTTCAGGCACAGACTCAAAGGCTTAACCACAGGAAACAGTACAGTAGTTTACTTTATTAGGGGTGTCCAATCTTTTGGCTTCCCTAGGCCACATTGGAGGAAGAATTGTCTTGGGCCACACATAAAATACACTAACATTAATTATAGCTGATGAGCTAAAGAAAAAAAAATCACAAAAAATCTCATAATGTTTTAAGGAAGTCTACAAATTTGTGTTGGGCTGCATTCAAGGCCGTCCTGGGTCACATGTGGCCCATGGGCCGTGGGTTGGACAACCGTGGTTTAATTAGTGAAGACCTTCAACTCCCACCCCACCTCAATTCCTGTATGCATTTGCTAAATGCTGTGGTATTTACGTTTCCTTGAAATTCTAGCTATGATTAATAGCCATACTTCAGTATTATTCTTATTGGCTATACTTATAATTCTTCTGTGTGGTGGTCTAATAAATTCTAACCACTAAACTATGTGATTCACAAATTTAAAAATATGTAGTCACCTATAATTCACACTTTTAATTCCACTAACATTTTTTAAAAATCACATAGCTGATATAGTTGAAGGTTGTGTTTTAACACTATTTTTGGCGGACACCGTGGCTCACACCTGTAATCCCAGCATATTGGGAGGCTGAGGTGGGTGGATCACTTGAGGTCAGGGGTTTGAGACCAGCCTAGCCAACATAGTGAAACCCCATCTCTACAAAAACAAAAACAAACAAACAAACAAAAACGAAAATTAGCTGGATGTGGTGGCAGGCGCCTGTAATCCCAGCTACTCAGGAGGCTGAGGCAGGAGAACCACTTGAACTCGGGAGGTGGAGGTTGCAGTGAGCCGAGATTGTCACTACACTCCAGCCTGGGTGACAGAGTGAGACTCCATCTCAAAAAAGAAAAAAAAAAAAACTATTTTAAAAATGAGATGAACTTGTACATATTGATATAGAAAGATGTCTATGTTAAATGACAAAAGCAAGATATACAGCTGTATTATATAATTTAATTCCTTTTGCGAAAAGAAAAAATGAGATATATTTAAGCTGGCAGATACCAAAACATTTTTCTGGGAAGATATGCAAGACACTTAATAATGGAGACCTCTAAAAGAGTAGGGGCACTGGGATGAGAAGGAAAGCTTTAAATTCTAATTTTATATATTTCTGTTCTGTTTGAAGTTTTTAACAATGCTCACAGTACTTTTTAATCTATCCATTTACATATTTAATATAGGATTATCTGAGTGAAAGGGATTATGACCCAATTTTTATGCATTTCTGCATTTCTACAAAACCCTAATAAATGATATTTTTATAAGATCACCATTCTCCACACGTGAATCCCTTCTTATTAAAACTCTCACCTGGCTTATCTTTATGAAGATACTACACTTTGCTTTCTTTCTTACATAAAATGAGGCTAATAATACCTGACAAATTAGTTATAATGACTAAATGAGATAAAATATGTAAAGTGTCCAGTAGAGTACCCAATACATAGTAAGTACTTAATAAATGTTAGTATTTCCAGTGAAAGTTGTTTTTTCACCCTGCGTATGTATATTCATTCTTTTCCTACCTAAAAAGAATTTCTCTTTGCAACAACCACTTCCTCACTGTTAGCCCATGTGGCATGAGGCCCAGACTTAAGCCAATTAGAGCATTCCATTCCCTTTGCACAGACTGTTTCACAGGTGGCCCAGGACTTTTATTCAAATCAATGCTGGGGAAGAGAAACTCTCATTCCCCCTTGGATTTTAATTTTAGAAGATATGAGGCTAGAATTGCTGTAGCTATCTTACCACAGCAAGGGGAGAACCTAAAGGTGCTAGAGACTATCATACGGAACCTGAAAATACTGCCAACACAGTGGAGTTCAAAGCAAGGAAAGAAACCAAACCCTTGTGTCTTTGTCTGAACCCTCAATCCAGTTATAGTCACCTGACTTTTTAGTTATAGGAGACAATATTTGTTTTTTCTCAAGACAATTTGGATTGGGTTTTCTGTCACTTGTAATCAAGAGGGTCCTATCCTAGATATTACTGTAATTATTTCTTCTTACATTCTAAAAATGAACATTTTCTTAATATCCTTGGTCTGGTGCTAACTTCTCTCCACTTACAATCTTAAAAACCTAACCTATTTTAGTGTTCCAGTTATTCTTATAACACTACCCATTTTATTTTCTCTCTTAAGCCATACTCTGTACCTCTACTGCTTGTTGAATATATCTTTCCAGAATTCCAACCTACAGAATAAAAACATACTTATCTTTCAATATAACATTTCCAAAAAAGAGCTGTTCTGCCTTCTAGCTTCCTGGGTTTTTGGTGATAAGTTATGTGTGTTTCTGTAACATTAATATACCAAGGGGCTTATATTATCAGGAGGAATATTCACTTCTATCTGCACTGTGTCTATATCTATTAATCTTGAACAATATTATCTAAATATTTATACAATACTTACACAAAATCATATTAGTTAATATCTAATTTATCTAAATATTTACAATTACAAACTTAATCTTTTAAAATATTTACTGAGAAATCTAATTTCAGCCTTTCTGAAATGTTATGACATGAGAAGGCAAACAAAACACGTATTATTAAAATTATGAAAAAAACTTGCACTTAAAGAATTGAAAATTAAGACTGTAATTCCAATTTTTCTCTTTGAACGTATTTCTTCCTGTGGGGTATAATTTTTTTCTGATGTAAAAAGTGAGGTTTTTCTTCTAAGACTGCCTGAAATTGCAAATAGAGATTACTGGCAGATTATTTTAGACTAGGAAGATAAGACCTGGTTATAGCAATACTTTCCAAAATGATTGTAACCCAGTCTTTTCCAGGTAGGCTACCTTCTCTTTGTAATTAAACTCTGTTAATTTCATGAGACATGTCCAAAATATTGGCAACAATCAACCAAAAGTATTTCTTGTGACTCTAATATCATCTCAAAAATTATACTTATTCTGAATGTCTTATTTTTGTGGTATATATAAATCTCCAGATTTAAGTCTACTCTGTAGCTGTTTGTTATGTTTTCTCATTATACAACCGGTTTATGCCCCTTTTCAAAATTTCTGAGTGGGCAATAGTTAGGTTCAATTAAATTTAAGGCCATCGGTCAGTTTATTTATCAAAACTTTGTTTCTGTGACTTATCGTTCTTCCTATACCTTATCACTAATTCAAGGATACACAAAGAATAGTATATGACTGACTTCAAGGGTTTATACTCTGAACCATGACAATTTACAAAAGCTATAGATTTTTCCCCCAAAATGACTCCAGATTTTTTTCCATCCTACTGTGTAGGCACTTCTCACTTATTGTTATATAGTAACAATCTTAACGAAAGCCTAGACTGATCTCATTTTCTTTCCCCATTAACACATCCCACATAACTACTGTTAATTATTCTTCCTATATTTACCAAGTCATTCCTTGGCTCAGAATTGTTCTAAAAGCCGTTTCCTCCATATCGTATCTAACATCCTTGACTTGGTTTTCAAGATCCTTCAGAAGCTACCCTTCCTCTAACTTGATATCCCAGTATTCGTCCTTAGCATACTTTAATAAGTTCAGTGTCATAAACACAGCAAAATCAAATCCTTATGGAATATGTGCTAGATGAACAATCATAAACAGTATGATGAGACAGGTATTATATGCTAGTTTCATAAATAAATACTCTCAAGATTGACAAGAGGAGGAAACTGTCAAGCATATACCTAAAAAATGACGGAACTTACGATTCTGTTTTCTATATTACATCTTTCCACTACAATGTGCTCTGTTCCCCCAAATACACCACTCAATTTGGTCTATACTTTTTTTTTTTTTTTTGAGACGCTGTTTCGCTTTTGTTGCCCAGGCTGGAGTGCAAAAGCGCTATCTCGGCTCACCGCAACCTCCACCTCCCGGATTCAAGCGATTCTCCTGCCTCAGCCTCCCTAGTAGCTGGGATTACAGGCATGCTCCATCGTGTCCAGCTAATTTTTTATTTTTAGTAGAGACGGGGTTTCTCCATGTTGGTCAGGCTGGTCTCGAACTCCCAACCTCAGATGATCCGCATAGTTGATACCTCTCCAACTCAGGTTTTGTAGTGTTTTACAACCTTTGGAAATGCAAAAATTCCAGAAGCTCTCAAAGATAATCCTTATATCTTCTTGGTATGCTTACCAGTCAAAAAACTTTTTTTCATTAAGCTTTATTTTCTGTAGTTTATGAAAACAATAGTTTTTAACTTCAAACATAAAGATATATCACGATATTGAGTCTATGCTTACTTAAAACACACCAGTCTCCCAACCTCACCAAATTCTTACAATTGGTTGGGAGGGCCTTGGCTCTCCACGCCTTTTTGAGAATCACTGAACCTGACTTCATGCTCTTCGAGAGAAGAACCATAATATATTTAGAGTGATCATGTAAATTCATTCAGAAGGCAGATTTTTTGGTGCTTTAACATGCCAGACCCTAAGTAAGCAAAAGTTGAAGAAAAAAAAAAAGAGGCCAGTAGTTCTCAATATCAAGTACTTAAGAGTTGTTGCATGAATACTGGAGATAGTCAAATGAGCTGGTGGCTCTTTAACAATGCAGGGAATTAGGAGCAAGTATGAGATTCTGATTAAAGCTGTAGGAAAACTAACTTCCAAAAAAAATGCACATAGAATTATGTATACAATGTTAGGCGAGTTATGAACTGTGAAGCCCAATCACCTACCACCAGATCCACAGACCTCAGGTTAAAAACCCACTAAAACTAAGTTCTCGGGGAACAGGAATTGCCAAACTTGCTTACTAATCCTAATTATGTCTTATCCAGTGCAATGTATACAAAAGCTACTTAGGGAATATTTGCTGATCGATAATTTCCTCATAAAAATAACCAGAACACTGGCGAGTCGTTTTTTCCATTAAAGAGCGTTTTAGTCAAGCTATTTTAAAAGACCGAAACCTTTCACTAGTAACAACAATGATCTAAAAACCAGTAACTCGAAAATCGTTATTGCGCTATTCACATGTGGACTAAGCTATCACTAATCCAGGTCTTCTTCTAGTTGTCTCTCTACTCCCTTCAAATTCAGGGCTTCCTCCTTCTCATCCCAAAAGCTACACCCAGAGCCTCGCTGCCGCCAGAGAGACAGAAAATGATGCTCCACGAAGCACACACCTTCAAAACAGAAAAGATGGGATCCAGTGACGCCTACAACTTCCAAACCCTTTTCCCACCAGGTCCAGAGGTGAAGAGATTTACCTCAAGTTCCAGGAAAGCGGTGGCGATTGCTCTGAAATACCTGGTACCAGTTACCAAGAAGCCTCCCGACCTCCCCGTCACCATAGCGACTTCTTAGAGTTACGCTCCCTTCCTCTTCCCGCGATACTTTTACGCGGCACGTCATCCGAGTGGGCCAGAGACCCCGCCTCTCGGTAAACCAGCCCTCTTCTGAAGAGGCGTTTCTGGACCACTGAGCCCCGCGTCCCGCTGTGAGCGGAACCCTACCCTTTCCAAAAAAATATTTTTTCAAAACCTGCCAGGTTGTTTTTCAAAATATTTTTAATAATAGTGCTGCTGTTGTAGACCACAGAGAAAACAATCCCTCGCTCTTCCTTTTCACTTAGTAGAAACTTCTACCGCGTAGGTCACGCTAGGAGCTCGCGCATGCGCAGGAGCGACCATAAGATGGCGGTGGTAATCGCCGCACTTTTTTTCAAATTAGTGGATCCCAGAAATCATTGCGCGCATTTGTAACGAATTTCCGTTCGAGTTTGTATTTTAGGCGCCATTTTCGAGTGAAGGACCCGGAGCCGAAACACCGGTAGGAGCAGAGAGGTGGATACTACACAACCGTTTCCAGCTTTGGTCTGAGCGGACTGTCTCGCAGGTAAAGTACTTCTCTTCCTGGTCAGGTTGTCACGCTCTTACTTCCTGCCTTGTCCGCGAGCGCCTGGAAAATAGAGGCCTTGAGCCGGAGCGACGAAGTCCGGGCTGAGGCTGCCGCTGGGAGATTTCTCTTGCTGTCACCCCTCCCCCCTCGGCCGCTCCCCGGCGGCCCTGGCTCCCGCGCGCAACTCCCGGGCGCCACTTTTCCAAGCTACTCAGACGTCTTGGGGGGGCCCCGAGCCTCGCAAATCTCTTCTTTAAAAAATCCTAGTCTCTATCTGGGAAAGGGCGTCTCCCCCTACCCCTCTCTCTTCTGCCAAGGGACTAGTCACCGGGTCTCAGCCTTCGCGGGTGACCTTTCATGGTTTACTGTCCAACGGGACTCCGCCCGGGGAGCTGGAGAGACAAACTCTTAACACCCCAAAATTAGCAAGCGCTGCCAGCGTCCGACTTGAAGTTGCTAGTGGTTGGTTCCAGCCTTCGCCCTTAGCGGTCGGATCGCGGAGAGGAGGGAGACCTCGTTACGCTTCGGGCCGTCAACGGCACCGGGAGCTAAAGGGCGGGCAGACGAAAGCCGGCGGCGAGTCGCCAGTTAAGTCCTCACCGTTCTAGAGAGAGTTGCTAGCCGCGGGATCCTGACCCTGACACGAACTCGTTTCTCCATGTCGGTGCGCTTGCATCCCTGGCCTCGAGAGCGTGGGAATGTCCGGAAATGCCGGCATATGGGAGTTCCTCCGTTAGAAATGCGTTAGCGAGTATTACACGCTTATACTATGGGCGGACGGGTGGAGGGCTTTTAAAAAAATAAATAAGCAGTTGCTCAGTCCTTGATTGATCCTCAGGCACCTCTAGTTTTTCTCACTTACATAGGTCTTGTTAAGAAACCAGTCCTGCCTTCTTGCCACTGGTGTCTTTCGATGGCTCCGTTCCCGAACTCCCACTGCCTCTAAGCGGGGTGTTAAGCGGGGCTCCTGGAAGCCGGTGGACCGAGGTTTCCCCGGGTGGGGCGGGCGCGGTGTAGCAACCCGCGGGCTCACTTGCTCCCGGCTCTCCCTCGGCCCCAGCAACCATGCCCCGTAAAGGCACCCAGCCCTCCACTGCCCGGCGCAGAGAGGAAGGGCCGCCGCCGTCCCCTGACGGCGCCAGCAGCGACGCGGAGCCTGAGCCGCCGTCCGGCCGCGCGGAGAGCCCAGCCACCGCCGCAGGTGAGTGACCCGCCGCGACTCCGCAGGAACGCGCGCCCAGCCCGAGGCTGGCTGGAGTTGTTGAGCGGGGGCTAGAGGCTGCGGGGTTGAAGTCTGAAGATCCGGTGTCGGTCCCGTAGAGGCTTAGGAGAGCCGTTTGGCAACTTTGAGATAAGACTCCCGTGCAATTTTGGTGTAACGGCGCTGGAAGGGATGGGGGCGAGCAAACGGGTTCAGTTGTGAATTTTTGTTTGTGACCTGTGGAATGGTACAGACATCTTTATTGTATTTCCGCTAAAATCGAGACGGTCAATCAAGAGCAAGTGGATTTTTTTCCCAGAGACAATCAATATGACTATGTGAGCATGATGAAAAGTTTCTTGACCCTAACCTCACCTCCGTGGTCTTAGATTGCCTTTAAAGAAAAGACGATAATTTATTTGAAACCACTGTAGCTTTTGTGAGTCCAGGAGTTGGGTGACATTATTAAGCTCTCGTGGCAGTGTCGCCGAAGTTCATGAGTTTCCAAAATGAAGGTTCGAGGTGCTCGGCGGTACGGATAATTGGATCTAGAGCCTTAGGATTTAACCTCCTGTTTAGGATAGACAGCAGGAAATAGCTTGTTACGGTTTTCCCAGATTAGCTCTATGATGTAGTGTTTTGACTCTTAAGAGGTATAGGTATATAGAATTTTGTGACTGGTGGCATTTCTTTCAAGAATTTCTTTTTTAATAAAATCAAGCTGAAGGTTTAGTCGCCCCCATGAGTTTAAGATAATAACATATTTAAGTGGAAAATACAGACTCCTAAGTTTCATAAATAACATCCCTCCATCCCCTACTTTTAAAGATGGCCAGTCATTAGTTCTCCGAACTAATTGCACTAATGTAGGCTTTTCCCCCGTTTGCCTTCCTTTTCCTTTCCTTTCACTGACTTAGAGACTGCAAGTGAGGAGCTTGATAATAGAAGTTTAGAAGAGATTTTGAATAGCATTCCTCCTCCCCCGCCTCCAGCAATGACCAATGAAGCTGGAGCTCCTCGGCTTATGATAACTCATATTGTAAACCAGAACTTCAAATCCTATGCTGGGGAGAAAATTCTGGGACCTTTCCATAAGGTATTTGTATGGAAATAACTATTTTATAACTTTTAAATAACTATTGTAAGGTAATAACGTCTTTACAAGATGTTTCAGTTTTGTAACTATCCTAAAATTCACTCACTCCCTATTTATCCTGATAGCCATTCTTTCTCTTTCTTTCTCTCTCTCTCTCTCTCTCTCTCTCTCTCTCTCTCTCTCTCGCACACGCACACACGTTTCATATGATTTTAACACTTAAATTATCTTTTGTTTATCTGGTTATCTTTGGTACCTCTAGCTGTAAAGTTTTCCATTGAATGGAGTCGGTGTTTTTGTTTGAAATAGTATTTTCCCTTAGATAATTTTTTTTCTTAAAGCTTTCGTTGGAACCCTTAGATAATTTAACTATAAAACGAGTTTTCTAAAACGTCTGCGTTAGAATTAGAGCATTCTTATTAAATGTTGAAACTTAGAGGAGGACTTGATGTAAGAAAACTCAAGTTGTATGTCCGTGATTAGCAATAAAAACTTTTAAATACTTGCAGTTTTTAACTGCAAGTAAAGTAAAAAAAAAAACCTAACAGTTTAAGTTAAAATCAGTAGTATTAGCTTGACCTTATGAACTTTTACTTGTTTTGTTTTTTTTTAATGCAGCGGTTTTCCTGTATTATTGGGCCAAATGGCAGTGGCAAATCCAATGTTATTGATTCTATGCTTTTTGTGTTTGGCTATCGAGCACAAAAAATAAGATCTAAAAAACTCTCAGTATTAATACATAATTCTGATGAACACAAGGACATTCAGAGTTGTACCGTAGAAGTTCATTTTCAAAAGATAATTGATAAGGTAAGGGATTTTTATTGTTTAGTTATTGACAAGTTCAAGCAAGGCAAATGGACTTAAATGCATTGCATATTTTATTATTTTTGACTTTAAGAAATTTGTATGTAATTATAGCAGAAAGTATTGGTTTCATTACCTCTGACCATATTTTATTTTGGGGGAGTGGTGGTGGTGCCTTTTAAAATATTAAATTTTTAGCTAAAGAAATGAATTACAAATAGTTCATAGTAATCCTTTTTGGAATAAAAACATTGAGCAGTTTTAGGATCCTGAGTACTCAATAGGCATTATTTTACTATAAATATTGGGTTCATTTTTAAAGTTATATTTTGGTTGCTTTAGAATAAATTAGCTGAACTTGAAAATATAGCAATTGGCTGGTTTTACCATCTTTATTATTTCAGTGCATTTTAACTTTAATGTTAGTGGCCCCTGAGTATCTATGATATGAAGGAGCTTTGCTTCAGTTTGACTACTGCTGTGATTAAGTGCTTTTGAAATGGGGGAAGGGCAAGCTAATGTTTGTTTTCTAGAAATAGAGACAATTACAGGTAAAATGTCTAGATTATTTACCTGTTGATACTTTTGCTTCTGTTTAATAATTAATGTAGGAAATTGATTGTTCAAAAATGACGCGATGAAACCTAAAAATATAGAAAACTAATTACATAATGAAATTGGGAGGTGATTTGGCTTTTGAATTTTGTTTTCCTTTTTTTAAAAAAAGTACAAAGTGCTTTAATTACACAGAATCATCTATTTTAATTTGGTTTATTTTGTGCTTTCTGTTGTACAAGTTGGGTTGGAAAATAGATTGCCGGTAAATCAGATTTTATTCCATTGCCTATTAATTACATTTGATTTATCTAAATTTTAGAAGTCATTGCTTCAGTATGACAGAACTTTTAAGGGTAAGGGAAAGTGGGTGTTAAAGTAGATTTGCAATTGATTTTTTTTTTTTTTTTACATCTTGTTTGTTTAAAAGAAAACCTAGGGAATTCAGTTGTTATTTTGTGATGCTTTTTACTTTAAATTAATGGCACACTCTTTACCCTCCCACACAAAAAAACTAAACTGTATCACGCCGTTACTACCTTCCTTCCTTTTTCTTTGAATCATCATTTTTAAAAGCTGCAGCTTTTTAAATCTGTCAACATGTTAATAATTTGTGTGGGTTTTGAATATGGTAGGAATCTTGTCTACCTCTTCTGAATCATAAATGTTTTTAGGCTTGTTTGGAGGTGGGTTTTTTCGTTGGCTGGTTGGTTTGGCTTCTTGGTTTTTGTGATCTTTGAGAAAGAGACCAAGCAGCATGGAAAACTATCAATTCTTTGCTAAGCCGAGTTGTTATTATTGAGAACTACTGGCAGTTTGTGTGCGTGTTCAATTGAAGTT